GTGCATGTTGAGGTAGTCCTCCAGAACGTCATCCTCACCGAGGGAGTCCTTGGTCAGAAGGTGGTCGAAGTCGACCAGCTCGACGGGGACAAGGTCCTGTCCCTCGGTGGCAAGCCAAGTAACCTTCTTCTCGGTCTTCTTGACATCACCAGCCATGTGCAGCTCAAGCTCAAGATCAGTGATGATACCGGTCTCAGCATTGGTGGTGACCTTGCGGACGATGGCGTTACCCCAGTTCATAAGGGTGATCTCCTCGTCAGGCTTGAACAGCTTCACATCCTCCTGCTCGAGGATGATCGAGCTGCTGTAGACAACCTTCTTCATGCCGACGGCGGCGTTCTTGATGTGTCGGGGCTTCTCCTCAGAGTAAGGGGTAGCAGGGCCACCGGTAACAGTGGTCTTGACAACATTCTTGTTGTAGATGGTGGTGTGACGAGGGGCAATAGGATCAATGTACTTCTTGTTGGTAGCCCAGATAAGACCCCAGTCGAAGTTGGTCACAGCCTTGGAGGGACCCTGCTTAAGGATGAACTCCCGGAGAGCAGGAATGGTCATACCGCGGCGACGAATACCACGGATGGTAGGGAAGCGAGGATCATCCCAACCCCAAACAAGACCAGTCTCAACCAGCTTGGTGAGCTTACGCTTGGACAGGAGAGTGCGAACGAAGTTCATACGGGCGAAGTCCCACACCTGCACGTTGCGCATCTTCATAGTGTCCAGCATCCACTGGTACTGGGGGTTGCGGTCGCGGTACTCGATGGTACGCAGAGCGTGGGTGACACCCTCCATCGAGTCGACAATAGGGCAGGCAAAGTCGTAGGTGGGGTAGATCTTCCACTTGCTACCGGTGCGGTGGTGGACCGCTGGGTTGCAGCGGTAGATGACGGGGTCACGCATAGCCTTGTTAGGGCAGTCGAAAGAGATCTTAGCACGGATGCACCAACGGAGACCCTCGGGGGTGCCGTTCTTCATCTCCTCCAAGTGGGCCAAGCTCTCCTCGGGGGAAAGATCGCGACGCTTGCTGGGCAAGCCGTCCCATCTCTGAGCGGCCATGGTTTCCTTATCAGTATCATCTGCGTAGGCGTCGCCCTGCTTGATGATCTGGATACAGTGATCGTACAACTCGTCGAAGTAGTCACTAGTGTAGGTCATCTTATTAGGCTTGATGCCCATAAGCGCAAGGTCTTCCACGATGGCATCCTCGAACTCTTGCTTCTCGTTGGAAGGGTTGGTGTCGTCGAATCGGAGAAGCATAGTACCGTTGTACTTCTCGTGCGCAAAGTAGTCATTGAGAAGAGCGGCCTTGGCGTGACCAATGTGGAGGTATCCACTAGAACGAACCACGTTAGTCTAAGAACAGCGAAAACCATGCGGTCACAACTTACGAAGGCTCGGGGGGGAAGCGGGTAACAACGCCGTTCTCGGTGTTCTTGAGTGCAATGTCGTAACTGGCACCCTCCTTGGACTTGGCCACCTTCTTCTCCTTGGCAACTGCGTTCATAGACTCGACAGCAGCGGAAGTCCAGGGGCAGAGCTCCTCCAAGAACCGATACCACCGGGTAAGGTTGACAAGGGATCCCTTCTTCAGGGCCGCAACGGCGACACGGTTACCACGGAGAGCACCCCAAAGGGCAATGTCCGGGGTAGACAGAGAGTATCCGACAACGAACGAGCGCATAAGGAGGTGGGCGTCAAGACGCTGGAGGACGGGGTCGAGGGCCTTAAAGTCGAGGGTGGTAAGGGAATCCAACTGAGAGATCCACTCGGCCTCCTATTGCGTGGTGTTAGAATGACTCGACCGCGGGGTAGTAGTATGAACTCACCTGCTTGGAATCCTTGCCAGCCAGGAAAGGGAAGTGGGTAGTCAGCTCCTGAATGACATTGGCAGTACCGAAGACAGAGTTGGAGCCACTGGTAAGCTGGACAATGGCCTTGTCGCCATCCTGGAGAAGAGCAGTGTCCTCGTAGGTGATCTTGACGACGGGGGTGGGGCGGGCCTCATTGATGGAGGTGACGATGAGAACCACCGGCAGAAGTGCCGCGTGGTTGCCGCGAGTGGCCACTTTCAACTCGTACTCAGACATTGCGCAGAAGTGTAGTGTGAGAAGCAATGTGAATTTTTGGAGGGGCAGAGTCATTATCTACAGTCCGTCCGGAGCAACGTTTTCCCGAGCCCGACAGCTTCCCGGCAGAAAACAATTGCTTCATCCAGTCGATCAGCCCGAATCAACGCCTGTCAACATGTCGTCCTCCGGCTCGGTACTGCCCACTGCGGCACGCGGAATCCTCTCATCATGCCGGAATCCGCTGCGCAATACCTCAATCGCTTCCTCTCTTTCGATTTTCCAGCAGGTCCGAGGTCTCAAGAACAAGCCAAAGAAGGGGAAAGACCAGCCTACCAAGAGCCGAAAAGGTCCCCAGGAGTTCCGGCAAATCAATTTGAAGGATATGCCGCAGTATTCCCTGTGTGATGCTATGCGGTATGTACTTAGCATCTGACATGGAGACGTCAAGTCAATGGCCGGGTCATCAATTGACACCTTCCTTTCTGCAGATATATCCGGGCCATCGAAGTCGGTCGCGAACCCTCCGTCCAAAAATACGAACTTCACATCCGACTGCGGACAAAGCGCGACGGTCCCGTCATCCGTAACATGCTCCGATTCCCCCACGCCGTTCAGACCGAATCCCGCATCTGTGTCATCTGTCCTCCCGGTTCGAAAGCAGCCAAGGAAGCGCTTGCCGCTGGTGCCGTTCTTGTCGGTGAACAAGAAGTGTTCGATGCTGTCAAGGCGGGCACTATTGAGTTCGATCGCTGTCTTGCCCACCCGGACAGTTTGCCGGCCCTGAACAAGGCCGCACTAGGTCGTATCCTCGGTCCTCGCGGTTTGATGCCCAGTGCGAAGACTGGTACCGTTGTGGAAGATGTGGCTGCGCGAGTAGAAATGCTCCGTGGTGGTACTGTGTACCGTGAGCGTGATGCCGTTATCCGTCTGCCTGTCGGACAATTGGGCTTCTCTCCGGAGCAATTGCGCGATAACATGCGTGTGACCCTTGACCAGATTAAGAAGGATGCTTCCGCGCTGACCGACCGTGTCAACAAGGAAGTCTACGAGGTGGTGAGTACTTTAATTGGTCTTTTTTTGTGGCAATCAGTCTCTAACAACACCATCAGGTACTGAGCTCGACCAACGGACCCGGATTCTCTCTCAACGGCGAGTTCCGCTCCGACGCCTCCCCTCCAACCTCCGCCCTGAAGGGCATGTAACATACTCAATTTTCTCTATATCCTTTGGCGTGTACAAATTTATTGTTTTATTAGGAAAGGAAATGGTGTATCATGGTATCATTGTTGAATTAGAACTTTATAAGACCAAACGCCGACGCTATGTATGCAAACCAGTGCACATTGTCAATTTTCAGGACGAAGGACGTTGTTTTTACAGCTTGAGGTTCTTCAGCGCAGCTACGGCACTGACATCCTCACCCATAAGCTCGTAGAGGCGCAGAACTGCCATTGTCCTAGCGTCGCGTTTGCCCTGTTTCTCACCCGCTGCGGTGGCCTGCTCCAAAGCAGTCTTCAGATCTAGGAGTACTGTAGACTTGATTTTTGCGACTCGTGGTTGCTGCGCAAGCAGGAAAGGATGCTTCTCGCCAACCCGAGCAGCTATCGACGTCAAATAGACAAACTTCTGCGCATGGCGTTCCAACCTCTTCAACGAAATCGCAGGTGTGCCATCTGCTAACTCATCGTCGTCGCTATCTTCGCTCTCCCCGCTGTACAAATCAGACTCTGTGTCTGATTCATCTGATGCGGCATGTTCTTGCAATGACTTGTCCTCAATCATCAAACGGTGTTCCAATTCCTCCACCCGGTCCGCATAGTCCAGCAGATCTTTGCCAACGTCGGCATTCATCCGTAGCCGCCGCTTCTCATTCAACAGCTCTTCCACTTCCTGACGTCGCGCCTCGACCTTGTCACGTATAGCTTTGACATCGCGCTGGAAAGAAAGCACACCGACTTTCACACCTTCAACTTTCTCCTCTCCCCCGCGAAGCGCACTGCCTAACGAGAGAAAGTCCTGGTAGTTCTCATTCACAAGATCCAACAGCTCCTTGTTCAATAATTGCTCCAGTCCCCGCAATTCCTGTCGGAGATCTTCAAGGCTCTGGTGTCGGTTCGTCAATGACGAGAGGAAAGTGGCTGGATCGAAGTCAGGCGCGAGGAATGAGGTGCGGGATAGCGGTTCCGGGAAGGGGAGGCCGGATGGGTCTTCATCAGAGTCGGAGACAGACCCGTCGGAGTCGCCGAACTAGAGGAGATTAGACGGGGTACTGATTCGGGTCATATGGGTTCATACTTGGAACCGATTCATGGTGCGTCTGGGAATAGCGTGGGCAATGGATAAGGGAGCACTGAGGGAAACGTGGTGATGGTGCCGTGTGCCTTGTATGTCTCGATATAGATTGCGTCTTTGATATAGAAGGAATCACTTTTTGAGAATTCCGGCGTTGAGTTGGCTTTGTGGCCCAGTGGTTAAGGCATCCCGCTCGTACTAATTTGTGCAAACGGGGGGTCCCGCGTTCGACTCGCGGCAGAGCCAGCAATTTTTTGTTGGTCTGCCTTTTTGGCTTTAGTATCATCTGTCAAAAAAAAAAAAAAGAAATATGTTAATCTTCCGAGGTCAATAGTGTACAAGTACGGAGTAGTGTACCTGGAGGTACCTGAACCACATTGACAACTTACGTGGTCCGGGCATCCAAGAGCCCTGGAAGCTTCCCCAATTCCCCCCACTACCCGTCCGGATGATTTACATCCAAAACAAACACTAAACACGCACGTCGGAAAATATGCGTTGCATATGCGACGTGGATAAATCCCTCGTGTGAGCCAAACCTAATCCTCTCGGAGTCCTGTGCCCTCTGAGAGCGGGGTCGTTGTCTGCGCTGTCTCCTGCATTACACGTAGCTCTGCGCTACTGAAACCAGCACGGAAGATGGAATCGGATACACTGCCTAGTACACGGCCGTCATCTTCTCTGCCTCAACAAGGATGGTCCCGACTATTTTCCCCAAACGCGTCTCCAGCCGTGTCCACTACAGGCACCTCACATCAGCCTAATCGGCGCCGCGAGTCCGTCGCTGAAGACACCGCCGCAGCATATCGTACCACCGCTATGCGCCAGATCAACGGTTCCCCGAGATCTGCACCCCGTCCTGTCCGTGACAATACCTCTGGAAGGCGCTCGTCGACACTGGCTACGCGCCCCGTGCTTGTCAGGGCGTATTCGGGAGATGCGCAGGATAGATCTACCTCTACCCGACCGTCTACTATGTCCGCACGTCGGTTCCTCTCATTCTCTAGCTCGAGGACCTCGGCGCCTTCTCGTCCGTCACAGTCCAATGTCATGTTCCCTACAGATAAGGATTTCAGTATCGAGAGTATACTCCAGGCCATCGAGCCTGATATCCGAGGAACTCTAGACTCCATTGCTGAGATCTGTGGGCGGAGCAAGCTGAGTCTCTCCAATGAGTATGGAAGTCACATCGCGCCGTTGGGTGAGATTTGTGCTCCGTCAGGTGCGCTAGGATCTGTCGAGGAGGCCGGGCCTAACGAGGAACGACGTGTCGATGACAGTAATGCGGTCATCATTGAGGATGAAGCTAGCCCGATTGATCTGGCCCGTGATATGCATCCGTTCTCGTTTCATCGGTATCTAGAAAATCTGAGGCATACGGCGTCTATGTTAGAACAGAATGGTGCATCCGGCCAGGCAACTCAGAGACAACCCCACTCTCCACTGTCCCCTGCCATGGCCTCCGAGGTGGAAACTGTCTTGGCCATTGCGCCGGAGAACATAGCTTCCACGCCTTTCACACGCGAATTCACATCGAGACCCAAGCATAGCGGTCGTGATCTGCTTGCAAAGAATGCTACTGCTGGCAGTGGCAAACAGAATTCATTTCAAATGGCCACTCCAGCTGTAGTGTCGGAGGTTCATCTACAAGTGATTGCAAATGATGGGTCCTCCACTGAACCCAATATCTTCCCACAGCCTTCTCTGGCAGGTGATGGGTTACCTGAAGCCGGAAGCTCGGGTCTGGAAATTATACAATCCCTCCTTGGCTGGCTGAAGTGGACTGCAAGTATCGCTGGGCCGGAATCTAGTCCTGCTTTGGAGTCTGCGGAGGGTCGGCTACGAGCTATGCTTGATCGTTCGGGGAATGAGGCTGTGCCCTCAACTGTGGGTTGATGATGACTGGCTGGGGCCTTTAACACGGTGCCTCGCTATGAGACATGATAATGAGTTTAATGTTAATGACCTTGCAAATATCCTCCATGCTATGAGCGCATTGCTTTTCTTTAAACATGATGTTACTTCCGATTGGTCTTTTAGAAATGCCATCTTAGACTTCTATCGTTTTACCTGGTTTTAGAAAACCCAGGACAACTAGACCTTCACTACATCGTTTACAGCACAAATGATATACCAATATGGTAATTGATCCAATTTGACTCAAGCAACAGAGGCTAAAGAGTGAAGCCTATGAACAAACATCATCTCAAAATAGAGCCATGCAGCAACTAAAGGCCAAGTGCAACCTAAGCGGAAGCCTTAACCTCAAGACGCTTAAAGCCACCATCGGCAGCAACCTCCTGCTGCAGCGCGGCCATACGCTTCTGATCACCAATAGGATCAGTAGAATCAGCATCAAGACCCCAAGAAAGGAACTCGTTGGTATAATTAGCCACGAAATCCTCCTTCAAAATCCCCAATCTCTTTCCATAGTTGGTAACCTTAGTCCAATCACGCTGAACATTCTTCAAATCGCGCGAGAAGTACGCAAAAGATCTCTCAAAGATCTTACGGTTAACATCAGTGCCCATGATCGGCTTGACGTCAATGTACTCCGCATACGCGGCCGCAGGGTCAGCGAGGACATCGTCGGTGGCGCGCTTCACGGCACGCATGAAGGCAGAAACCTTCTCTGGGTTCGCGGCGATAAAGGCGTCGTTCGCGATGTAAAGGATCGAGCAGAAGCAGCAGCAGCCGAGTTCGGCGAGCTGGTCGATGCGGAGCATTTGCACGTCGGTGCGAGGTCGGTTTTGGCCTGCGAGCCATTCTTCGAGCTCGACCATTTGCACGTTCTCGAGACCGATTCCGGCGTCGATGGTGCCGTTGATGATGGCTTTGGTTATGTTCATTCCGCAGCGGACGGCGGTGTAGTCATCGGCGGTCATGCCGTAGTACTTGGTGAGTTCGTCGATTTGGATCTGGGGTTTGTTAGGGTTTGTTTGCTGGATCAAAAGCTGGTGAGGAGGAAAATCATACCTTGCCGAACTCGCCGACGTAGCCGATGCGCTTGCCTTTCAGCGAGCGGAAGTCCTCGGTGATTCCGCTGGACTTCAGGTACACGACTCCAGTGAAGGGCTCGTCGAGGAGGGAGCCGATGGAGGTCACGGGGAAGTCGCGGGCCTTGGCCTGGATTTGGTATCAGTATGATATGTTTGTTATTTCTGCGTAAGGAGTACGAACCGCCAGGGTGTGAATCATGGCCTTGAAGCCCATGTCGACCTTGCCGCTTCCGACAATCTCGGTGACGTCGGAGGGGTCATTGGGCTCGAGGAGAGCGACCTTGAGACCTTCATCCTTGAAGTAGCCTCTGGCCTGGGCGAGGTAGAGGGGGGCGTGGTACGGGGTGGCGTGCCTTAAAAGAAATAACTTAGCCAAGTCTACAAGATGGAGCATCAAGCACAAGAGGGCTTAGAAGCTCAGGTTCTGGGACAATGTCAGCATACCAGTTTGTCAAAAAAGTAATCTTGTCGGTAGACATGATGGCAAAAAGCTCAAGCTATTTGAATACTTCAATTGGGTCAGCATGCCAAGAGAGAAAGTATCCAGCTCTACTCGGACCATGCTGTCTTCCATTCAATCTATGTATTCAATTGAACAGTCAACAGCATAGTACAACATGAGCAGAGCCAGACACAAAACACAAAACAGGGGAACAATCAAAAGTCACGCATGTCCTTTCGCTAGTATTGTCTAGATCAAGTTTTGACAGTATAATCTCAGAACGGCCAATCAGTTGATATGAGAAGGACCCCATACAGACTCCGGAAGATATCCTGGAGATCTGAAATAGGGTTATAACTTCTCCCCAATCAACTGACTGGACCGAACACCTGTCATGCGGTGGCAACGACTGTTATACGAACAAATACCTTGATCCATCTCTTCATCGTAGCGAGGACTGTGTCCTGCAACCCCGCGGGGTCCTGGACGTGCGCGGCTCCATTGGAGAGTCGTACCGATGGTAGACGTAAATCGAAAGGTCCAGGGTTGGATAGTTGGAAGAGTGATGGTTGGGAAGAGGGAAGATGGAGGGGTAGGAGGGGTAGAAATAGCCAAGTAGTACACGCAGAAGTACAACGTACGATGAATCATAGTTCGCTAAATGCTCACCGGGGCGAGAATAACCGGCTATGATTGCTCAACTTTGTAACTCTATATCCTGAAAGCTCCGATGCAGCTCCGGTGTTACCTACGCAGGTGTTCGAGTGGATATTGTCGGAGCTCATCCCTCCGCGGAGAGTTACAACATGGATAACATTACATTGAATATCCTTGCAAACATATATGAATTTCGATTTCATTTAATTAAAAAACAAACATAGGCTTCAAATGCACTGCTCGGGAAAAAAAGATCATAAAAAGCAGAGTGATTAAACAAGTACACATGACGTCAATGGGCAGCCCACTCCAACTGGGCCAATGGTGAAAATAACTAAAAACAAGGGTCCAATACCCTCAATACCCTCGGTTATTCTTTCCTGGCTTCTGTTTCGGCCTCTTCTCGGCCATTGATCGATATGCTGTCCAGTGGGGATGCAGCACGTTCCGTCATCTTGCGAGTTCGCAGTGTGAGGGGGAAGTGCTCTTCGGGCTCTTCCTCTTCACTGTTGAATGTATTAGTATTTAACAAATACTATCAATATTGATAAATGATATAGAACTCACGGCAATCTCCAAGCAATATAATCCTCGGTACTCAATCCCTCATGACCTTCCTGCAAAGAGGCAAAGTCACCCGGGGTCATCATTCCGGAGCGATCCCGAGGGGATCCAGGAACGGAAAGCGGGCGGGAGAGCTTCTGTTCCGTTCCTCCAATGATATCGAAGTAATCCTCTTGGCCCTCGAAGGAGGACGGGTAAGCTGTATAAAAGAATTAGATCATAAACCACCTAGAAAATAAAAACAATGGGATGGTAACATACCTCTTCTCAATGCCAGCTGGCGAGCCTTGACATATTCCAAGCCCATTCTTTTCCAGTCGAGTAGGTCGCTCAGACGCTCCGTACGGTTACGCTGGTTGATGCGCTGACGACGACTCTTCTCCGTGAAATTGAACATAAACTCGGTCAGTTGGTTGACCGAGTCGTCAACGCCCTTGGCCCGACGATCCACGATGTAAATTCCATAATCGGAGGAGTTTTCAATCAATTCCTCCATATAGCAACCGAATCCAGACAGATTCGTGGTGATGCTAGGCACACCCATCACTGTACATTCGGCTGGAGTATATCCCCACGGCTCGTAGTAGGAGGGGAAGACACCCAAATGGGTTCCGCGAACGAAGTCGTCGTAGTCAAGCGGCAATACAGGGTTGGCAGAGTTGAGGAATTCAGGATGGAAGACAACCTTCACCCGGTCAGAGGAATGATTGAACAGCTGGACGCGACGCAGCTGGTTAAGGATGGGGTCTTCGTGGTCATTTTGCATGTTGTGGGTGACAATTGGGGGAAGGCCGTGACGCTTCATGCCGAACAGGCGACGACGGAGCATAACGCGATCTTGACTGGTGATGAGATCCTTTTCGTCGGGCATGTTGTCGCCTTCCTTCCATGAAAGACAGCGCTCATACATGCGCTTACCAATCCCTTTCTCGATGTTCTCGATGGTATCGCGCAGAGACTTGACGACGGCCTGTCCCTTGAGCGATTCCACAGTCAATGAAGAGGTTTGTGCTGGCATAATAATGAAAGCGACCACGGTCATGGCCGACCCAGCGGCCTTCAGCCGATGATTGAGGCGGGCCAGCCCCTCAATGAACATATCGACACCCTTATTGCGGTATTCGTAGCGACCTGCGGTAAAGAGATATAGAGTATTATCCAGATCAAAGTCGTTGTGGCCGTAGAAGTGGCCACGAACGAAATCGTTGATCTTCTCCTTGGCCTGGGAGTGCAAGTTTTGAAACTCGTGCATGGCAGAGAACTTCTTGACATTCAGACCGTTAGGCAGCACGCCATCGGGTTTCCGCTTCAGGAGGTGCTCGCTCTCAAATGCGGTGATGTGCGATACAGTGGTAAAGACATCGCAGGAATGAGTAGCAGCCCGCTCGATGCAGTAACGGTGGTAGATTCCTCTCTTCCCGGCCTCCGCATCCACATCAAAGTACTGAAGGTTATTATAGAAATCAACCGATCCAGCACAGAGGTAACGACCCAATAATGTCGCGTGGGTGGTGAAGACGGTTGTGAGGTCCATGTGCCGCTTCTTGGTCAGTGGCAGGGCGACACCAGCCAACCATTCGTGGAAATGGGCAATGACCGCCCGGCGACGGTCATGAGCAATGTACTAGCAGCAGGAATAAGGTCAGTAACATACTTTTGCCATCTCGGGCGTGCAGAATAATAACCGTAACGTACCTCTCCCAAGAACCAAGCAACCAAGTATCCAAAAACAATGGCCTCATTGGTCTCATTATCACCAGCGGGGGAGGGGATGGCCGAAGTAGTCCAAAGATCGCCCTTCCACTCGTCCAACCACCGATAGCCAGTCCCCGTGTCAATCAGCAGAACCCGAGGGGCACCCTCAATAAGCCAGCGACCGTAGACAATGTCAATGCCGCGCTCCTTCATAGACTGGATCGTCTCCCGCATGGCCGGGTTGGATGGGGATAGCTCCTCAACCTCCACCGCAGCTGAAGCCCTGTTCAGTGGGCCGATTAGAGTGTACCGCTCACCATATTCAGCGGTGGTCACCGGAGCTTTGGACTTGAGGACCGAGTAGATGCCGCCTACTCGGTTGGCCACTTCAGTGGCCACCTCGAAGAGCATGTGGTTGCGCACATCACGCTTGATGGGTTCGCCGGTTTCCTCCATGATTCTCAAATGTATGTATTTTGTAGAAAAGCAAAAGAGAAATGAAACGCGAGGAGGAGGGGGGGGATGAGCGCAACGACCTTGGAAGAGCTGTCGGACTCGGTCTGTGCGGGGGAGAAGTGGACCTTGCGACTTGAGCTTCTGGGGTGGCTGGAGAAGTTGGGGGGGTTGATGTGGATCAAATTGAAGATGAAGTTGAGGTCAAAGAGATCATGTCACGAGAAAAGCAGACCCGACTTCCCGTTTCCTCCCTCCGGTCAAGAGTTTTTCTCCGGACTGGTCGATCTAGTCGACGGGTGTGACCCTCCCAGGCTTTTTCCCCGTGCGCTTAGACCAAAAAGTCTCTGCGAGGGAAATTCCACCCGAGACTGTTGAGAAAAGTACGTATTAAATTATTTTTAAGAGAGATTTTATTTCATTTCAACTATTACATCTGTCTCTGTAAGACTATCCATGGTACTTTGTGTATTCTGTGCCTGGTATATGTAACAGTAGTATAGTAAGTAACAGGAGTAAGGTGGGATCGCCCCACGCTGTGGCTTTCTCTTCCTCTCCTCTCTTGCCTCCCATATTTCTCTCCTTTTACCTGGTTTCTCCGGTTTCTCCGATTATAAGGCACCTGATCTACATTTATTTGCCTTCCACACCAATCTACCAAGCTCAGGGCCAATCCAATTGCAGTTTCTCGTGGGATCTGGGGAAAGCTGGAGCCAATGATGTCATCTGACAATCTGCTCCACTGAACGGACCCGCCAGAGCTTGCTCATCGCTCCAAATGACAAATGACAGTCAAGGACAACCAAGGACTACGAATCTGCCCATCAATGGCTTGGAATGGCTTCACCCAACCCAAATTATTGGTGGTAAGGATGCGCGGACCATGTAAGAGGGGAGGATCATCTTGGCATCCGATTTCCTTATTGGTCTCGAAATATCCCTATACAACACGCCAGATGCAAACTACTTTTTTTTGTACAACATTGCGTTCCTTGTTTCTACCTGAGTAGCTCTGTTCCAGGTCAGAGAGGAATATCTCCGAACTTCTACAATGTCTGACCCAAGTCAAAGATGTCCACCTTGCCAATACTATACAACCTATATCCAAGATGGCCACAAATAAATTCCGGGCAGGATTCCAGGATGGTGAAACCGATCTTCTCTCTTTTTACCCTATGTTGCTATCTGTTTCTAGCTACCTACATGGATAGAGTACCACCGCAGCTGACTCATGAAACCAGAGACACGCCTGGGCAGTTGGGGAACAAAGAGCCATCGTTGTTGATATCCACAACAAAGAACCTCAAAAGTCTCAAATCCGTGTTTGTTCCCATCCTCATTGTGACTGAGATGGAGTCCAGTTCAAATACTTGTAGACAATGTTGTGTCACTTATTTGAAATGCATCAACTGAAAGGCTCATTGATGTCGATTTCGGAGGTACCAGTATACCAGCCCAGGCATATATAAAAACCCGAGCAACCATGAAGCCCGAAGAAAGAGATCCTCTGCACTCTCCCGTCCTCCAGCATTTATCTCTTCTAATCAATCCGAGCCCGGAGCTTCGATCGCCCATCGCATCAAGCATGTCCGAAAAGAAGAAGACGCGCAAGCGGTCCAAGATCAAACGGTGGTTGAGAAGTTGGGTTTTCACTCCGCTGGGCAACGTGAAGATCAAGTTGATCAGCAAGGTCGAGCGGAGGGGTCGAAGTATCGCGGACTGTGAGCTCAATCATATCGTTTTCGGAGCCCTCACCGATCGATATCCGTGTCGCTTCTTTCGGGATCGCAATGAGCCGGGATCGGCCCCAGTCAGGAGGTCCCTGCTTGAAAATGAGTTCGAATCTCTGGTAGATCTGTTTATTTCTATGTCTGCTCAGTCGGAGAGCGCGCGACAGCAGTCTTCCAGACTTGATGCGTGCGTGGCCAACGGCTCTCTAGTTGGCAGAGAAGAACTTGCTGTGGCAACTGCCCGGGCTAAGTCTCCCCATGATCCTCGTGGGAGCTGGCGAGGGGATGAACGTTATGTGTTGAGAATCATGAATCCGGATGTGTCTTGGTTGGATAGTGAGGATGAGAAGTCTGAAGAGTCAGGCTCCATGTCTGTAATTGAGGTTGATACGAATGTGTACGAGCTTTCTGCACTTGAGGGAAAGAGCCCAGACTTACCTGCCGAGTTGAGTGAAGAAGGCCAATCTGGGAAGTCACGTTCTTCCTTGGTAGTCGAATCTGATGTTCAGATAGCTCCCCAACTCCCAAATTTGTATTTCGATGCACCGTTATGCTGTCTCATCACTTCAGCTCTGCACGACTCCAGCTCACCAGTTCTTTTTGAGAATGGTCTTTGTTTATGTGATCACTCCTCACACGGTACTCAATCTCTGATTTCACATCTGCCTCTATCGGATGTATCACGATCATCCGTCAGGAGGGTCAAGCCTCCAAGAAACACCATGGAATTCCTCATCCGCCAAACACAGAGAAGGCCAAGTACCATCTTGAACAATGCGCATATCTCCCCATATGTTCCATTACAGCCGCGACCACTCCAGATTCGAAAAGCCTCTAATGCCACCTCCACCAACACACAGAATGATGCCCCGTCGCCCTTTCCTGCAGAGCCATCCCACGATGTGACAGTACCAGTGCACAGCCCATCATACAGTCTCCGCTGTAAGATCCAACACGGCCCCTTACCTCCCCTACCTCCTTCGACATCCAGTACCTCATCCACTCACTCCTTTTTATTTGGGCCAGCAGGACCCAGCTCTCGACCGCCAGACATCTCATCCATCACTCCCTCTGTCTCTGCATCAGCACCACCCGTGGATCTCCCACAGTACCCTGACCGGCCAACCTCAATGTGCGATGGCTGCCTAGCAAGGCGACATCGGTCCCTCCACAGCCATCCATCCCATCGCCATGGCGATAATAGCCCGCAATTTGGAAATCCTCCACTCCCATACCCACTCAGCCCCCAAGAACCAACCCGCTTACCACCTCGCGTTGACAATTTACCAGCTTCTCTCGGGGCCTGCCTACAGTGCCGGCACTGTCCGACTCGTCAATCCGGGGCCGTATCTCCGCCAGTGTTAGTTAGTCCTCGACATCGTGCTCAGGTGTTGAATCGTGCTTCTGCCTCTTTCTTGGACTCTTTCCCTAACTCGCCTGGGGCTGGTCCTATAGGTCCCACAGAGTTCTATGCTATGTCTAAAGATAACGTGCATTCGCATGGCGAATCTGGTCACATCGATGAGAGTATTGATTCGTCTGGTTTGGAAATGTGCCTAATTGCAGGATCGAGGGCTCAACGCCGGAGATACCGTTAAGAGAGCAAGTTAGTGCTGACATTGAGTCAGAGTCGACCAGAAATGTCCGATATCTTGTGTCATGTTTCCCTTCATTGATCTTCATTTATTTCCTATGGGTATGTGTCAATCTTTTGTTGGACTCATGTTGGAGTTAGGGTTGAAATGTCCGAGCTGAAGAAGTATCTTTAATGAACAATCATTGACCTTTTCATATCAAGTGCGCCCATTCACTTGTCATCCTTGGACGTCCCTACCAGACAAGGGCAACGGAGCGTATGACCTTAGCATGGCGACACTACCACAATATGCTGAATCCCCACCCGGCGGGGTTGTTTAATACCATGTTAATTTAATTTATTGATACATGAGAAATAAAATCTTGGAAATTGATGGATTTCACCATGTAAAAAGTGCATACATTATAGACAGTAGAAAATGGGGATGTGTAGAACCAAAGTTGGCCAAAATCGGGCCCGTTTTGAGTTATATATTTCAGTCATTAACATGCAACCTAAAATATTCAAATATTTTCCCGACTAAAACCTTGGAATGGTCCAATAAAACCATTTATTAATTGATATCACGATATCTGCCATTCCATGAAATTTCTAGACCCATTTCCAAGGCAATCGAGCAAAGATCTTGATCCTCCAACGCGCATGAAGTCATACTCCCCACTATGATTTCAGGATGTTGTCACAGAACTAACAACATGAATCAACGAAAACCAAATATAAATAGAAGTATCAAATACTCCTTTTTCCCATTGCTACATCCAACAAGAAAGAAAACCAATTCTACCTCAAATCTACATTCTACCTTTCTCCTCCCCCTCCTACAAAAACCAACCAAAATGGTCCGCGGCGCAGAATACGACAACGGTGTCCCCCAGAGCGACAACCCTATTGAGAACGGTCCTAACAAGGCACACGGCGTCGGCAATGAGGTATGTTCCACTAAATTCTATTCAAGGGAGCACTTTTTATTTGGGTAGTTGCTAATGCATTCCATAGCCCGCAGACCTGAGCCGATCACACAAGGCTGCACCCCTACCAGAGCAGACTGGCTCTGGCCGTGACGTTCACCCTGGTTTGCCTACTGCTGGATCGGATCATCCCAACGGTGGTGCTGCGAAGCCTGTTTCTCTTGATGAGAAGAACACTGCTGGGAAATAAGTGCTGTTATGTGATATGATATGTTTGGATGGTGATGATCCTGTATGATATGGTCTTTGGTGTTGATGATTTGCATATATTATGAATGATACACGATATTCTCAAGTCATGAACTCTAAATTTGGTTTAGTTAATATTCTTGGGTTAGTAGGAAGAGTAAATGAGGGCCAATCCCAGGTTCAGTGACGGTCTAACGTGTAATGCTAGAGATATATTAGAAGGAAAATCACATCTGCTCTTATTCATATCCACAAACGCCGGGCTAGCTCTAAATGCAACTGGTAGACAGATATGTGGTAGCGGCAAATAACAGGAAGTGTACAGCTCGGGAATGAGCGCGCAGGTAAGAAAGGAACATGGAGAAACAAAATTATATGTATAAGGGTAAACCGCCCATGGCAATGCAGATCAGGATTTGGTGGAATCAGAGCCATCGTCCTGCTCCGGTTGCTTTTCACTTGTTTCGGACTTGGCAGGTTCGTTGGTGATGGTAATGGGCTTCGCTTGCACAACTTCGAGGAGCTTGTCACCAACCTCGCTGGCGCCTTCAATCTTGCTGAGTTTGGTTCGGAAATACTCGACATCGGCTTGCATTCTGTGTATGGTTAGTATTAAATATCGGTGGGGTTGAGTGGTTCAAACTAACCTCTTCTTTCCATCCTCCGTCTGCACGTCAGCCTCCTGGAAGGCCTTCGTCCATTGATCACGATAGCTGTTGAATACAGGTACCATGATCATGCTAACTGTCATGTCGGGAAGATGCTTGCTCAGGACGCGGTGGAGAGTACCCGTCTCCTTGGCCAGGGTTTCCATGTAGGGATTGACGGCAGGAGTCGCTCCCTTGGAATTCCAGTCGATCTTCTTCATCGAGTTCACGTGGACCGAAGAGCGCGAGCTCATGATATCAACCAGTTTCTCGTGGATACCGCTCTGATGCTCCTGGCAGAGTCGCTTCACTTTGTCAAACTCGGCCATCAAGGGGTTTGCCTGTCCATGGCGACGGACAAATTCTCGTACGTACGGGACCAGAGCAATAACAAAGCTCAATGCCTGTGATGACAGCGCGAGATGCTTAGTTGTGATATTCTTCAGGCCCGCACTACGTGTGGCACCGGCTCCAAGAATCAATTGCGATGACCGCGAGTTGAACAGTTTTAGGATATCTAGTAGGTGCGGAGCAATGTCCTGGATCATGGTGGGGATATTCGACATGAGGAAATCGAACTCCTCAATACTGCGCATCATGGCAACAGCCGAGTCAGGCAGAATGTATTTCTGCTCGTCGATGACGGCACTGCGAACCTTGGACTTGTCTGTCCCATTCTCAGCAGCAATATCAGCAGGTTTGGCTAGCTCGTTTCCAGGACGTTCAATCCAGATCTTGGAAACTTCGACCCAGGCGTCAATGTCCTTGGTGCTTGCATCGAGAATTCTAGTAAGAATGGTGTTCTCGGCATCTCCGAAATCGCGTGCATCCCATCGATCGGCATCCATGACATTGACAATTTGATGCCGTTGGCCATCACCGAAACGGGTAATGAAATCGCGGATTTGATTTCCAACTATTGTTTTCAGGGCAGTGCCACTGCGTCCTGAAATAGCCTCGCATTCATCGGCAAACAGGCGATTGAGGGTGAAGTACCTAAGGAATTCCTCCTTGGAAAGCTGGGCGGTTTGTTCGGATCGCACTTTCAACACCTTTGTTATCTGGGATTGGGCGATGTCAACTGCCTGACCAAGCAGACTCGACATATCCAAAACCTGAAGAATCTCATCCTGGGCCAGGTCAGAGGCCGTGGGCCCGATCTGTGAAGAGTTTATAGCTTGATCCATGCTCTGCGGGTTGGGGCTTCGTGGTGGTGACTTGACGCCGGAAGTGGGCGAATTCCCCAAGCCGCTAGCAATATCCAGAAGAACTTTGACTTGGACGCTGAGTCGCCTGAGCGATTCACTGATCCCAGTGTAGACATTCATCAACATCGTATAAGCATCATCTGAGTCGAGAGCGCGAAGATTACGAGCAAGGATTGATGACTTCTCTTGTTGGCTCAGCTGATGACCGCCATGTGTTGATAGCGATACCATAGATTCATTATCATCATCACTAGAACTGGGCAGGTGTTTGCGAATAAGGCCCTTCATTTCTCGTAAAACAGCGGTTTTGAAAGAAGTTGCAGCTGACATCGTATAGTGTGCACGCGCAAGTCCGTTGAGCTGGGTATTCAATTTGGATCGCAAATCGTTATTGAAATTCATGTAGGCAGGTGATACCGATACTCCAGACCGTTGACCACCTCGCTGCCGTTGGAATGAGTTTCCCCAGCGCTGCAGGGTCACATTCGATGGCACAGTTTGAACATGCTCTCGTAAATCTCCCAAAAGGTCATTCAAGAACCGGGTCTCATAGCCCATACCGATGCGTTGGCGGAGCTGTGCCAGGTCGTCAGATGATCCCTCAAGGGCCTTGATGCCTCGCAGGTCGATAATGCGTCTGGGGGCACCCTCGTCGTCCTCCGAAGCGGCACGGGCAGGGAGCTTTTCACCGGCCATCAGCTTTTCGACTTCCTCCAGGCCATCAGCAGCTTCCTCAATGTCGCCCTGCTCTACCAATTCTTCGCACCGAGACACAGATTCGACCACATCGCGAAGCTGAGCCACGGCAGCTCCCAACATTCGTACATTTTCTCTTCGCCGTCTCAAATTGACAATTTTGAGACCACCTAGGGCCATTTCTTTGTCGATTTTCTGCAGGTCTTTTCTCAGTACTTGTATCCGGTTGACTGAGTCCGCGGCTTCTGCGTGCAATTCTCGGAGGGATCCAAGAGCAGTGAAGAATGATTTCGATGCCGTTGAGATAGAGGAAATAAGGTGGATCTCCACAGTATCCATGTACCATGAAAGCTTTTCTTGGAGAATTGCATTTGTTGCTAGTGCTTTTCTTCCAGTTTGTACTGGCTCCGGAACCAATCCATTGGCGTGTTTGTCGTCTTTGGACGGCGGGCGAGGCGGCCGAACCACCTCTGATTTCTCCGATATCACGTCAAACGTTCGAGGATTCTCTAGATGGAAACCCTCTTCGAAATAAACCGGAGGGATGGTGGAGAGAGGGGTAACAGCCGGGGCACGACCACGTGCACTGGAGGGGCGTCGACCGCGAGTATCATATGGTGAAGATGATCTTGAACCGGTCGACATGACGGAAGACCTTCGCTCAGGGGACCATGGCATTAACGAATCGCGATCGGAATCTGGCTTGGGGGACTTGGAAGCCTGCGCCGGTAAGGCTTCCTCCCCAGCGCCTTCTTTCGATTGCTGAAACACATCGTATAAACCGCCCACTTGCGATAGATATGGCTGAAAGACCTTTGCATCCACGTGTTTGATGTTTGTCAGAGTCACTGGCGGGATATCGCGGGAGGACGGGGGCTTGAATCCCGCGGATGATGTGACACTACCGGTCGTCATACCGGTGCGGATGATTGGGGGCTGGAGGAGGGTGGAAATGGCTATATTGGCGTTAATAGGTCAATCATCGAGCAATTGAGGATTTCGAGGTCACAAACCATTCTGTCCAGACTCTGCGACAGACTCTGAGATCGAGCCATGGTAGTGAGAAGACTCCAGGACACCTCCGATGCTCATGATCGAGCTCGCGGTTGATCCCCTCCTCAGGGGGAACCGCTGAGGGGCCACACGTGGAGATTCCAACTGGCTTGTTGAATAAGGGATCGAAGGCGACGAGACCCCAGACGCCAAGCTATCAATTGACTTTCGTGGACTGGTTGACGACATGGCTGCCACGAGCCGGATCGGACAGCCACCGGGGGAGGGTCGATCGTTGTGATGTTCCGTGTTATCTGATCATGACAGTGGATATACTCCTGACTGTAGAGCTGTGGCAGGCTCAGATACGGGGTCCAATGCGGGTCAAGTCAGATTCTGCGATTCGCGATTTTGGTCCGAGATTGGTTGCGGAATGCCTGTGATGTGGCTTTGTTTCCATGAAGCTGGTCATGGCTCCCCAATCGGTCAATGCGCTAACGCCGGGCGCTTCCCCGTGCTGACTCAGATATTTGCGGCCTTAGGCTTTAAACTTAATGCCTCAGGCGACAGCTGACTCAGAAACCACTTAACGCGTGAACCCTCGACGCGTCGCGTTGGTGCCACACTAACCAAAAGTTCTTGAAGCCTCCCTTCCGCCAAATCATCAACCCCCCCAACCTGCCATATTTGCGGTCCTCTACACCATGGATAGACGCACCCCCTATACTTTGAGCGTACTTGCGCCTAGCACCAATGGCGCTGATGAAGATCGCACGACTATTCAAAATCGTCTCCGGGATTTCGTGCTAGAATTTCAGCTGGATAATGCATTCGTCTACCGGTACGCATCCCACTGCCATGATGGTCGAATGGAGACTAATTTATGATTACATAGCGATCAACTACGGCAAAATGCCCTTGTGAAACAATATTACTGTGATATTGACATTGCCCATCTAATTTCTTACAACGAAGAATTGGCCCACAAACTCACCACCGAGCCCGGCGATATCATCCCTCTTGTAAGTTTCTTATCCCGCTGATATTGGCGGTCGCTAACTTGAAGTAGTTCGAGCTGGCCCTGAAACAATGTACTGCGCGGATTGTCTACCCAGGGCAGCGCGATATCACACTACCCTCCCACCAACTGCTCCTACACTCTTCGGCATCGCATATCTCAATCCGTGATCTCAATGCCACCAATATCTCCCACCTCGTTCGAATCCCTGGAATTGTAATTGGAGCTTCAACAATATCTTCCAAATCAACAATTATTCACGTTCGTTGTAAGGGGTGCGATCACAGCGAAAACATCCAGGTCGATGGTGGCTTCTCTGGCCTATCGCTGCCACGCCGCTGCGGTCGGCCCAGGAACGAAAATGATCAGCCCAATGAGCAATGTCCCTTGGATCCCTACGTCGTTCACCACGAGAGATGTCAATTCGTGGACCAGCAAGTCCTCAAGCTTCAAGAAGCCCCTGACCAGGTGCCAGTCGGTGAGATGCCGCGACACGTCCTTATTTCTGCCGATCGCTACCTTGCCAACCGAGTTGTTCCTGGCTCCCGTTGCACAGTTATGGGAATTTTCTCTATCTACCAAGCGAAGGGTGTCAAGAAAGAGGCTGCGGTGGCTATCCGCAACCCCTATCTCCGTGCAGTGGGAATTACGTCCGACGTCGACCAGACAGCGAAGGGCGCCTCAGTCTTCTCCGAGGAGGAAGAACAAGAATTCCTGGAGCTTAGCCGGAGGCCCGACCTGTACGATGCCCTTGCTCGCAGCATTGCCCCATCTATCTATGGAAATGCGGATATGAAGAAAGCCATTGTGTGTCTGCTCATGGGTGGCTCAAAGAAGATTCTTCCCGATGGAATGAAGCTTCGTGGTGATATTAACGTGCTTATGCTCGGTGACCCCGGTACTGCCAAGTCTCAGCTCTTGAAGTTCGTCGAAAAGGCTGCTCCCATCGCCATCTACACCTCTGGAAAGGGTTCATCTGCCGCTGGTTTGACAGCCTCCGTGCAGCGAGATCACACTACGCGCGAGTTCTATCTCGAAGGTGGTGCTATGGTGCTTGCTGATGGCGGTGTTGTGTGTATTGATGAGTTCGATAAGATGCGCGACGAGGACCGAGTGGCCATTCACGAAGCCATGGAACAGCAGACCATTTCTATTGCCAAGGCCGGCATCACCACAATCCTCAACTCAAGAACGTCCGTATTGGCCGCAGCAAACCCTATCTTCGGTCGATACGATGATCTCAAGACCCCCGGCGAGAATATTGATTTCCAGACCACTATCCTGTCCCGTTTCGATATGATCTTCATCGTCCGCGATGAACATGAGCGTGGCCGCGATGAGAAGATTGCTCGCCACGTCATGGGCGTGCACATGGGTGGTCGCGGTGTGGAAGAGCAGGTGGAAGCTGAGATTCCCGTTGAGCAGATGAAGCGCTACATCAGCTACTGCCGCAGGTATGTTGAGACTCCTTACTGATTTCCCCTGCTATATTTATACTAACATCCCGTCTAGCCGTTGTGCGCCCCGTCTCTCGCCCGAAGCGGCGGAAAAACTCTCGTCTCACTTCGTTTCCATCCGAAAGCAAGTCCACCGTGCCGAGATGGAGTCCAACTCTCGATCATCAATCCCCATCACCGTCCGTCAACTCGAGGCTATTGTCCGTATCTCCGAGTCCCTTGCCAAACTTTCCCTCTCTCCTATCGCCACGGAAGCCCACGTGGATGAGGCGATCCGCCTGTTCCTGGCATCCACTATGGACGCTATTACCCAGGGTGAGGGCCAAGGTAGCAAGGAGCTTATGGAGCAGAGCAGCAAGATTGAAGATGAGTTGAAGCGTCGTCTCCCCATTGGCTGGAGCACAAGCTTGGCCACTCTGCGCCGCGACTTTGTTGATGGCAAGAACTATACCGAGCAAGCCCTTAACCGTGCCCTGGTGGTCTTGCAGCGACGTGACACCATCCAGATCCGTTCTGGTGGATCTCAAATCTACCGCAATGGAGTTTGATCTGTGACTTATTATGATTCTAATGTGTTTCTGTTGATACACCTGGTATGTGTGCTATGGGATGGGTTATCGATTCTGTGCATCTGTCGATCTTGCAAGGCATGGGAGTTTGCAAGCGGTGTTGGGCGTGTTTAATATTGAGGTTTTGAGGGTATTTTCAAGATGAATTGCATATTCCTTCCTGTTCCATGAACCCAATGTAAGACGTAGTACCTTCCCTGTCGCGCGTCGCAGCTTCCCTTTTAAGTCGTCACATTAAGTCACTGGGAAGGTATGAATACCCCCTCCCCCTCAGACTTCTCTCTCTTCTTACTTCGTTCCTCGACCCTCCAGGCCCACATTACACTCTGTGGTTCCCTAGGCACCCAACAATTTTTTGAATTTTCTCAGCTTCAGGTCCTCATTCAACACATAGATGCTGTTGTCAAGTGATCGGTTTATCTTAATAACTCTGGCGGGTCTCTGTAGGCGGCCTGGGCTAGGCTGCGAATGGCACGAAGCATGTACACGCGGGTACCGACTGGCGGTCTTCGGATACCTGAGGTGTCTAGCAATGACCTCTGCGGATACAGACTGTACGTGTCCAAGTGCTCCCGTTGTCCGTCAGGAGCCGGACCAAGGGGCTCTGTTCTCATCTCCTCTACGTACTATTTGAACTAATTCTTTGTACTTCCCACAGAGATAGCTCTCTGAACAATTTTCTGAGGATGTTTTTTTTTTGGAGGGGGGGGTTTCATATTACCGAAGGTATATTTGACGATTGTTGTTCTTCGTGGTCCTGGTGTATGCCAGTCTTGTGGGCTTTATGCTTGATCCTGTGGTTGCTTTGTCTCCACTTTGTTGCTTCAACCTTGTATGTATAAATCGACAATACACAACCTCTTGACTTGATGATTCAACCGTAAACACTTAGAATATGTGTCATGATGACCCTTCGTAGTTCAAATCTCACCGTATTTCGTTTTTCCTGGAATCATAGAGAAACATTTGTGACGATGTGTTGTCCACCTTGGACGATGCTCCACCTCAATCCCTGCCCCTCCAAAACCCCTCCAAGTCACAGGGCTAGCCTTATTCAGCCACAGGTCCCCTCAAAGCCACTGGTTGTGAATAACCCCTCTCCAATATCTCGACTGCCAAGGACTGACAACATGAGGCTGCATCCCCAAACTGGCTTGGCACAGTATCAGCCCCGGTCAACTGCATTGTCCTCATTAGGCACCAGCATTTCTCTTCGGTCGGTTCGATACCCATTGGCCATGTGTGGCCCACGTCCTGTGGCTGTTCTCTAAGGCTGTCACGGAATCATGCATTCTTGGTGCGCATGCACAGTGCAACGTCAGGATATGTCCCTGCGAATCCTGTGGCTGGGGACAGTGGGGGATGTCGCCATGCGCCACGATAACTGGATATCAACTCGATGTGCTCTGAAGTCCGTCGTGCCGGATATTCCGCCAAGATGACAGCCTCGGATGTTCACTTGGGCCTGATCGGTCTGATCCACCTACTGACGTGTACGGGCATTGTGGATGCTGCCATTCCGTCCTCTCCACAGCTGTCTAAAGACTAACTCGCTAGGTTTCTTTGTCTTTGAAGGCATCCCCGTTTATATGGAGTACAGCATCCCCGCTTTGCCAATGTCGCTCCTTCCAATGAATTCCCCACCCTAGCCAGTTGCCATGGCGCAATCGAGATGCAGTGAGACAAATTAGTCGGGGACATCTGTCGGACAAGAACTGGGGGCTGCTGCACGATTCCTTGTGTTAGTCCAGATTGCGACTCGGGGAGTATTGGTCTCGCCAGATGGGGTATATAAAGAGACTACCCTCCCCCTCCGTTGACTTTCGTCATCCACGAAGTTTATGATACATAGCCTCTACACTCTACTTTGCATTCTTCTCTCCCAAATCGACAATATGAGCTTCCACGAATCTGCTACCCACATCGAGCTTGAGGATGGTCACATCCTCAAGGCTGTTCTTCGCAACGAGGATGGTGATGAGGAGGAGTCCACCATCGATCTCAATGATCACATCGGGAACGACAATGGTGTGTTTCTTAGTCTTTCCTTGATGTTCACCCTGCATCAATGCCGTGATACCAGGTATTCTAACTCATTTTCTTAGGTCAATTCCACTGGGATGGCGGTGACTTCCACTCCTCCGCGGACGATGTCCGATTTGATCGCGAAGGAGACGATGGCGTCCCTGTTCTGCGTGCTACCTTGCGCGATGTCGATGGCGAGGGACACGATGCGGATATCAACCTGGCCGAGCGCATTGGGAATGATAATGGACACTTGGTCTTCAACTAGGAGGCTTAGATGACTCTCAACCCTGGGGAATAGTCTTGCCATTGTTGCTGTTGTCCGGTACAATTACACACACATGGCATACCTCCAATGAGTCTATACTGTTGTTGCTTGGATGATGATTTATGATAGATTATTTGGTTTCTGTGGTATCAATTCCATTATTATATTTGATCTTCATCCTTCTAATTTGTGTTAATGACATACTGCAAAGTGTTGTCGAATGTCGTTTGATATGTCTTTTGTTTTTCCATATTCCTGCAAACTTCCAATGTCTGTACTTCCAAATAACATTTCTCCAATAAATTCCCTCGTTCCTTCCTTGCTAGCCAGCCTCCTTCATTGTTTGCTACTGCCCGCTCATTCTTTTCCCCCGTTTAGTTTGAAGCAAAAAAATGATCTCGCATCTTTGGCTGCCTAAATCCACAGTTCTCTAGGTTCGTCACCTGGTTGACCCTTGACTCGTGTTTTGTTTTGTGGTCGCTCTACGTCCTAATCCAAGCCCTCTAAACAACATATTGCTGACATTCGATCCCATTTTCTTCCAGTTTCATCGTCTGCCAACGGTCAGGCCTTTCACCGCTCTTTCTTGCGGCCTCGGATATCGCCCGTCGAGTGGGCCAAATACTCGGTGGGCCCTCCACAACCACCTCTGGCTTGCCCATGACATCACAACCTTATCCCACCCTCCTCAATCCGTCCTACCACTCCAGGCGAGCACACATGAGTGCAGGGCCTTGTGAATTGGAAGTGCAAGAAATGAATATCCGAGAGACGTCTGAGTCCAGATGATGACCTGTCAAGCGTTAGTGTCATTCAAGCCAAATGCCAGGACCAGAACCCGGTCCGCTTGTGACAAACCTCAAACTATGGGTAAGTACGCAATATAGCATCATTTTTGCGATAGATTATGAAGCTAACTGACTGAAAGACTACCCATAGACATCATATCAGGCTCATCAAGGAGGACTATATATTTATTAGCTGGTGGCAGACCGTTGGGACTTTTGGCATCATAAGGTGTCTAGCGCCTTAGAAGTAGGCTTCTCCGAGTCATCTTGTCAAGCCATATTCTGACGTCTTAGTCCTCCTTCTGTGATATGTGCAAGGAATCCACAGAAAACGAGACGCAGCGAAAAGACATGGTGGCTAAAGAGGCAGCTTTTGAATAGTTATACCAAACCTCACCTCAACGCTTGATTAAACTAAACCATTGCCGTGCAGAGCGGCGAATTGGAATCCCTTGGTCGACTACTCCAAAAGGCATGGAATGGCTCGTTGGCTTTGTCGGCGATGCTGTAATTGTTATTGTCATCCTTGCTGGCTAACATGTTTTGCCTCCCTTGAGACATGGGAGTTGAATCCTAGTACGTTGTTAGATCCTACTACATCGAGCCAAACTGTCAGATCCTGAGGGAATCTAGTGTCACAAGATTCAGCCAATGATTTTGGCCTCATCGATGAGCTACTGGCGACCCAGAGATCCCATCAACCTACGATCCCTCGAGCAAACGCGCGTGGCATTCCACCCAAGGGTATGCTTAAAGAAGCCCCTTGGAACCTCAAGGAGCGGAAGTTATACCCTATTCATCAACCAAGTAAGATGAGTAAATTGGAATATCCTGGCTGAATTACTATGAATCACACGAATTGTACAGATCTTACGTCCACGAGACTGGCCCACGGAAGTTGACCTAGCCCGGGCAACGAGTCAAGTTCAAATTCATCTCTGGTCGCAAGATGCTCCACAAGTCAACAGCGGTCAACTTGTCAACCCACCTAAAACTGTTAAACAAAGTTTGAACTAGGTGGCCAAGGCACTCGAATCCTGACCTTTGAGGAGTGGGATGAAGCAGGGCTAACTTCCGAGGTAATACAACTCGTGATTAGCGAGTCCATTGATTCCCGTGTTCAAGCCGCAGAAGACTCGTTAAAGTTCCTAGTTGAATGGTGTTCCTCGCTTCCGCTTAGTGTTCAAGTAGCTCCTTAAAAGGCAGTGCTTTCCGCCTACCCATAAGGCTGGGTGAGGCCACCACGAGAAGTTCGTCGTTTCTGATGCCTGTCAACTTAACACGTAGTTCAGACAGCTCCACGCTGCACTCGTCGAAGCCAACGTCCTCCCTCCCATTTGGCCTTGGTCAGCAAGGCTGGCATCCACTGGTGAACGATTCCAACAATCCTGATAGCCAAGGGGATTCAAAAGGCACAGTTAGCACCGCCTGAGTCCCCCTTTTTGGCATGAGCTCTTTCCTCCATATATAAGTAGGATGTTCGACTAATTTACACTTGACGTATGAAATGGAGCAAAAGTTCAAGCTAGCATCGTCCCCTTTCTTATAAATGCGTCTAGAAGTCAACTAACTTCAATAACAAGTCGATTAGAATTGTTTCTAGTGTGAGAGAGGGGTGTCCGGGGAAGGCATGGATATTAAGAAGTCTTGGGCATTCCCACAGAATCCTCGGAACCTTCACACTGATGTTCATGTGAAGTTGAAGGCCATTTACAGGGAAATAGCTATGTGTTCACATTGGTAAAAGATTCAGCTGACCCGTGGCGGAAGTGAGATTCTAGCGATTGGCATAGACGTCCTCTCTCCAATACCAGCTCAAATTATCTATGGGTTTGAAACCGGCACCAAGTATGTTTTACCCATCATATAATCTAGGCTATATGATTTATACTTACCGACAAATATTAAGCTCATTATCGTCGGGTATCTTACAGGCTTTTGAGAGACCATACAGATCAAAGATCCGCAGGAATGGGACGATAGGTTGTACGTTATGTTTGGTCTAGTGGATATTCCCGAAACCGAAATTGGAGCGTAGGCCATACTAGGTAGATCTGGTAGAGTATTATGATGTTCCAAGGCATTTCATAACTGTAGTGTAATGGGTGCGACACAAACCTAACTGATTTGTCCACATAGAACAAAATAAAACAGGTATCAATTGAGTACTGTATTTTCGACTCCTAGCACATAACCCAGCAGCGCGAGGCATAGCATAAATGCTTTAAGGGGCATGAGGTATAGGCTTATCTAGTCCTCAATAAAAAGTAAACCGCGATGTGTTAAAAAGCATCGCTTTATGGTGGGTCAAATGACCTGAATATTCAATACTCCACGCACCCTTGAAAACCTTTTGGCTGAGAAATATCGTCTCCACCCAATTGCGCATGAACCTCTAGGTGTAAGGGAGGCCACGGACACAAATCAAGATCCCCCGATAGATTGTTTCGCCGAGCCATTGAGTCAAGGTGAAACCTCTTCTCTGGAAGGAAAGGAGCTAGGGGCGCCAGATGCTTCACAATTATGGCAGATAACCGCACCTTTTCTGACCTCTAATAAGGGTAGAAACCCTCATTTGATTCTCAGTCTCCTGACATGTTCAGATGGCGGGTCTCTATGGTCTTCTCGTCGGTAAGCTCCGGAGCATACGGGAGGTTCGAAATTCTGACAGCAAACGGCAAGGCAAGTGTGATCAGAAATAGACGGATTGAAGAGGTCGAAAGACCTGCAAGGGGATCTCCACCGTGTTGGGCTCTCGGCCTTCAAATGCATTATGAAAAAGTACGCAGCTTAGACTAGGTGGCCAATCAGGATTGACTAATTCAAAAGGGATTTGTTTATCTAGTAAGTGATGAAAAGAACGCATATCATATAGTTGTGTAAATGAATTGGTCTCTTAGTGTATTCCTGCGTATCGACAAAAGGCACTTGGATGGCCTTCTGCATAGCATCCCAAATATCATGTCGGACAGAATAGATCGGATTATCGAAATCTTCAATCCGCGAGGGTATCGGTCGGATGGGCGGCCAATTATTGTTGTATGACCTGAATGAATGTGCGCTACGGGTTTGTAAAATATTAGAATAGTGAGAGGTTATAAAGCGACACACAGATTCCTTTCATAGTTGACCGTCTGATTTTCAGGGCCATCCTTTAGGTGGAGTAGTGGTTGTGGTTTGGATGATGTATGGTGTGCAAACCTGGACGACACGCTGGTAACTAGAGGACAACGTAGTCAATTGATATAAGAAAATGAAGACTAGATAGACCTTGCGAGTTATACGATGTGTGACTCGATCGATACACAAGATCTTTCTGTGCGACGGCAAGACTCTCAATGCCCCCTATCAGCCATCTTGCTCGCATGTTTAGGTTTCAGGACACCTGCACTAGTCGCTTCAGATAAAGCCCATAAATATCTCAAGAGTTGTCTCTTATGTGCCGGATCTTTGAACGGGCGTCGTTTATTGTAGACTGCATGCGGGATCTTCGTTAGAGAGGGTAGAGTCAAACAATCGTCGTCGAGCTAAGGCCCACGCTGATGTGGGGCGGGGAACTCGGTTCCATGGATCCGACGTGGGTATTGGTGGATCACGAGTATGGTTCAACGACGGCTTGTGGTAGAGCTTGTTTCAATCTGGGTAAGGGATGATCTTGACGGGGTCGTGATGGCAGCACCGTAATATGAAAATAAAGAAAACAAAAAGGTTGTGGGGGTTCGGGTATCATATACCAGGAGTGGAAGAAATGTCCAACCAAAGAAAAATAAAATAATTTCTACAAAGAGGGGCTAGGAGGTAGAGGTAATTCATATGGCTCAAAAGATGGGTGGTACTTTCCCAAAAGGAAGGAATAGGTCAGTTATGGTTGAGGAAAACGTCATAGTTACCGTGGATACGCCCTTACAGCTCAGTGGTTTAAGTCTACGTTATGTAGAATAAGTCCTGCAGTAGTGGTTGACCAGGTCGTGATAGGGAGGTCGAATTGGGTTGCGAGCTACCTGGTTCGACCCCAGGAGTGTCAATACCTAAAGGAGATTCCGATATACACCTTTTTTCTCCTGTATTTCACTTTACTCACTCCTTAGTTCATTCTGCCATCACCTCTTTATTAATCTCCAGACGTGTGACCATTCAGCCTTTTATGCACCATTCTGGTTGGTCCGATCCTCTTAGGTCCAGCCTCTCTTTCTCCACCTTTTCCTTGCCATAAAGGCGATGAATCCCCACACTGTCGGATACTACTTGCCACAAATACCTACGAAAAAGATTATTTTACAGATTCCCCTTCGTCCATGTCCATTAACTCGCCTCACGGGCCATTGATATAGAACATGGCGCCTGTTGAAAGTGCTAGAAAGGTCATCAACTACTGCGATTGCAGGCTTTTTAGTCAAATGGAAAATTCCAGCAGCGCCTACCGCAAGCGAATCAACGGAGTATCCTTTACAAACCCAAATAATTTATTGAAGGTAAGACGCCTTTCAAACCAAGCATTTCTAGATTTCCCGACTTTTCAGCACCTACTCTGCCCAGGTAAAACGAACCTTGCAGATATTCAAGCCGAATTCAGATCACTGGGTGCATCACCACCATCATGTTGAGTACAGTTGTGCAACAGATCGATTCATAAGGGGTGCGAGTCCGATTACTATATCCCTTGATGATTACACTTGTAAGAACAAATTTCAAGGCTAATTCCAGCCTCAAGGCCTGTGTTAAGACGTATCACCTAGTGGATATTTTGGTGGTAGGACTGAACTACTTCTTTAACTAGCTTGTTCTTGTTCATGCAGATTTCGAACCTGCCTTGCCTCCTTTGTTCTCACGGTCATGTGGTACATCTCAGGCTATCTACAATGCCTCACTCGTCATCCATCTCTGTGCAGCCTGCAAACTCAGTCCCCCGAGCTATCTCGGACACTACCATTTCTTTGGATGACAGACCACTCACTACAATCCACGAATTCGCTCCTCATCAGCTGACCATCTAGAGAAGCATACCAAAGCAGCTGCGAAAGTTCCCTTCAACTGCCACAGTCTATCAAAACGTCGCAACCCAAAACAAGCAATTAGGGAACAGCATCACGGACAGGATGAATAGCGAATAATGTTGGCACCTACGCTACGATTTTGAATCTCGTCAGAAAGTTTGGATTGTTCTCAGTCTCTGTCAAGAGGAGGGGATGACAGGCAAGCCACCAAGTCTAGGCTAACAATGGCCTAGGTCGATAGGTTTGTTGGCTTTCGGTAGCCTAAGATGATTCGAAAATAGTAACGCGCCGAATATAACACGGTGTATTGTTTGATTATAACTGGGATGTCAGATTAATATGAACCGAAATATATGCGGGGAGAAGTAGGTTTAAGTTAGTGATAGAAGCGTGAAACTACATCAATACCACTAGTCTCAATTCCGCAGAAGTCCTGAATACCTGGGGCAAAAATTGTCATGCGAAATTGACATGTTGCAAAAGAAGCAACGTGTGCATGAAATCAATCAGGGTTTAGAGTTGAACAACTCCAAGGACATATTAATTATGACAAATTAACTTTGATTTTCAACGGCTTCTATCTTATTAACCGTTATATAATAAACCGTAAGAGAAACAATAAACAGGCAAGGCAAGGATACTACGTAATAAGGACCTGGTTCCCTACTGCGTGGAAGGATGCACGGGCGGTGGGTCGGGTAGACCGCGGGGCATACCCGGCTACGCTAGACCATATACGGACTAGTACATGACCTTATTCCCACCGCTATGTACCGAGTACCCGCATACTATGAGTTACAATCCTATTGCAGAAATGAACAAAAGGGGGGCTAGCCGGCCAAGAAATACTACGCGGATGCATCATAGGGATGCATTGAACAGAGAGTATTCAACCGCTAAAATGCGCTGATATGCTTCGATCATATCGCGAGCAACTTGGATTATGTTGATTTACTTATTTCATTCACGGGTCTCATCATCCGCCGCCTGAATTTGTTAGGGCCAGTTGGCCATTTCCTCAGACTAGTGAGCGACTCATTCTCAGCCTAGGGATCGAACTTTTTGAGTGGGTCACAGATTCGCTCAGCTTGCAGGTACAAGTGCTTAGGACGTTCGCAGTCTGGCTCGGGGCCTCTACATGGCTGGGTGGAACAACGGTATGGGGCATGAACTCCGTTAGGTTATTTTAGGCGGTTCAGGCTCCAATGTAGCTCAACTTTAACTTCCCATTGAGGTACCATGGCGAAGGAATTGCGGATCGTCGAGCTGTAGGTGCAGCTCATCCCTCCACCCCAATGCTGTCGAGTATTCCAGTAGCCGTCCAATAATATTACCTAACCTATGTAATTCTTTGATTTAGGTGTTAGAATAGCATTGAGTCAATCGGTAACGGTCTTGGTATCACCCTCGCATGTGAGATGGCCATGATCATATAAGATGTGAAACGGTAATTAAGTACTCATAGCCAGTTAATTATGATACACGCTAGTTCTTCAAGGAGCCAATGCAACCTTCATGTTATATCATCATTTCTCTCACCAAATTCTATCAAATTTTCGGTACTGAGAAAATTGAAAGAGAGAATGAAGCAATAGAGCAGTTGAAGGGGAAAAAAAAGAATCGGAGTAGATGAAAGCAAAACATAAGAAAGAAAGAAAAATAAAGATGCGAAATGGAATCCCCCTGGTTTGTATTGACTCCTGGGGTGGAAAGCAGGTAGTACACGCCCCTAATCCCATCTCTCAAGGCAACCGGAGATAGGTAATGCACAAAGTTCATTCCCTTCCAGTTTCGCGTCCGGGGATATAGCCCATGCGCTATAATAGGGGTTTCCCTAGAAAGTCTTACCTTTCAGTTAATCTTAACAAACATCTGGCTAAGCTTCCCACAAGGTAGAACATTTTTCTCTCTTGCCAATTTCTAATAAATATGTGACGCCTGTGAGACTAAAATTTCGAATGTCGCAACGTAAGGCTGGAATAAAAGAATCATATCGCTAGGTTCAAGCAGAAAAAAATATGAAAAAGGTGTGCGAAATGAAAACCCCCCTGGTTGCAGAATCCTGGGGTTGAACCAGGCAAACTACCCCCCACCATTTCTCCCTATCACGGCTCGGTAGGCAATGCACAACGGTTCATTCCTCTCCGGTCCGCATCCGCAGACAAAGAAAACGTCAGTAAGATATAAAGATTCATGCTGGTATTGATTTATTCCATAGTATAAGCCCGGCTAGCTCTGATTGATCCAGTCTAATGCAACGGTCATCGGGTGGGTCATCTACCTAGTTCAACTCCAAGAGTGCATCAGCTAAAGGAAGCTTGAGATCTTTCATGTTAAACACACCTGAAATTACCCTCACCTTTACTTCAATAGGCATATGAACGCTGATAGCACTCTGTGAAGAGTAAAGATTATTAAACTAATGTGTGGGGACTAAGTGTTTGTTAAATTTAACGAAATGAGAGGGTCGGTCAAAGAAGACCCCTTATAGTTCAGTGACGTGTCCTTTGGGATCTCAAGCCCTGACGTTTATGGTTGACCGGTGTAGTGATAGGGAGGCCAATTGGGCGGCAAATTACCTGCGGTCGACTCCAGGGATGGGCTTTACCCAGGGGGGTTCAATTTTTTTTTCTTTGTTGCTGCATCTCATGGTATTTTGCAATTCATAATTTCTCACTTTCCTTGTTATTTTTATGACCAGAAATGTGTGAGGAACTAGTTGCATGTATTTGTCTTACAGGTTGGGGTTCGGTCCCTCCAGCCCCTACTCTTTCTTTTATTCTCCCTTGTAGCACAAATAATATATTATGACTAGTACTAGAATTTTGCTGGATTAGAAAGAAGATTTTTTTGTTCTTTTGAAACCCAAGAGATCAATGTTCGATTTTCCCGTTGTCTATGTTGTCGAAATAGACGTGGCTATACTGTAAATAGGATCCACGGAACCGTTGCTGACGGACCCATATATTGCACCTCCGATCTGCCCCACCCAGACGTCATTCCAATTCTTTTTCCACTTCGAACCTTTTCTGTCAATTACCCGACCGAAAGCTTCAGAGTGTCCCTCCTCCCTTACATTGGCAATTCTACAATCTACTGGATTTACGTTACCTCCAAATTGCACTACTGCAACACTCTCCCCATCTTCCCAGCCCGACCCAAAGACACACCCAGCCCCCGACCTACGATCCAGAAACCGACCGAGCCACCTTCTCCACCATGACACCTCTCATCCGAGTCATTGGATCCCTCAACGCTGACATGGTCTCAGTAGCACCCCGATTCCCAGACCCAGGCGAGACAATCACCTCCTCATCCTACTTCACCAGCGCGGGCGGCAAGGGCGCAAACCAAGCTGTGGCATGCGGACGCATGTCCCGAGCCAAGCCAACAGGTACCACAAACTCCACAAGCGACGTCAATGTCGAGATGATAGGTGCAGTAGGAGCCATGGACGGCCACTTCTCCTCCTTACTCAAGCCGACCCTCGAGAGATCTGGAGTCGACCCTTCCCGAGTGAAAGTCATCGACAACGCATACACGGGTGTGGCAGTGATCATTGTGGACTCGTCAGCCGGTGGCGAGAACCGGATTCTCTTTTCGCCAGGTGCAAATTACGATGGCATGCAGCCTACCCCGGAAGTGCTGGGCATGGCGCTAGCGGCGCCCGTACCCGACGTCATTGTTATGCAAGGCGAGATCCCGGTCGACACGGTTATCGGCATACTACGTGACATAGCAGCATACAAGGCCAAGTCTCGCGCTGCTGGGAAATGTGGCATTGAGTGCGGTCCGGATGTTATGCTTAATCCGGCACCTGCACCGCCTGGTGGTTTGCCCGAGGATGTATACGCTGCTGTCGACCATTTGATCCTGAATGAGACAGAGGCCGAGCTGATGACCCCCCTACAGAACAACTGCTTCGCACGGTGCCGGAAGCAGATGGTTTGGATGGCAAGGAGAAGGTCGCTCGATATTTCCACAAATTGGGTGTTAGCTACATCCTTATCACGTACGGGGCAAAGGGCGTCTGGTACAGTGCCGCGGATGGCGGCTCGTCTGGACCCAGTGATGGAGTACAGCGCTTCACTAACGAGATTCCAGCTGCCCCTGTCTCCCGGGTCTTGGATACTACTGCGGCGGGTGATACATTTGTTGGTGCCTACGCGGTCAGAGTGGCACGATGGCGCGAGCAGCGTCGCGGGGAGGGCAAGGCTGGGCAGGATGTTGCGGATGATGAGAAGGCATACCGGTACAAGACTGTCATGGACGAGGCGATGCGTTTGGCTGCGCTCGCCTCGGCTCGGGCTGTGGAACGTCAGGGTGCCATGGACAGCATTCCTTTTGAGGATGAGATCTGAGGTAATTGACAATGGTAAGTCTGCGATCATGTACATTATTATATCACTAGAGACTTGTGGAGTATATGGACTATCCCGGTCGGCATTTCCCGCCTGTAGTGGAATGTCGACGCCATTGTACATCGATGGCACAATAGACAGGCTCTCGGCTTTCGCGAGGAATGCAACAAGGATCAATACGCCGAGGAAAATAATCCGAGCCCACGAGGAACAGGGGGCGCAGGTGCCATCAAACCTTGGGAACCCTATCCATCCATGGGTGTAATATCCCTATTAATAACCCTCCATCATTCTACGCCTTGAAACAGCCTTCAGGGGCGAATTCCTACTTTGAACCACCTGGACAGCCAGCCCAGCGAACATTCCCCAGCCCTGGGTACCCGACACCCTCAACCCTTCCCCTGAGACAGAACTCCGCAAAATGTTCCACATTCACCTCAAACCCCAGCAGCCCCGGTCGGCCTCTGCATGCATGGTTTCATCCGGTAACCTGAATCCGGATGGGGCATAGCCAATGGAGACCGATGCGTTGGCAGAGTTTCATTAGACATTTCATGCGACATACTTTTAGTGCAATGGCAAACGATGTTGGTCGCGAATGAGCGCACAGTGCGCAAGGAAGAGACGTGAACGCGAAGTCGCGCGCGAGGGAACGTGCAAGACGTGGAGGACGTGATGGACGTGGAGGTATTTGGTACTTACGCGATATATGCGCTAGTAGCGGGATGCCAAGTACCGGGTACTTACGTTATGCTGACCGACGCGTCCAAGGGATACGCGACATGCAGGACTCGGGGAAATTGAACTTTGGACCTTTTGCCCTGATTTTGGGGATGATTTTACTTCTATGGGCAATTCTAGGGAAATTAGGAATAATTAATTGTATATTACTCCGTATGTTGTAGGACAATGGCACTGTGCTATATCTATAGTACTATCTATAGTATACGGAAAAGCGCGTAATTGATCTGCATCTCACCATTGTTCCCACACGAGACACGAGGAATGAAAATCAATTGGATTGTGCTGGGAATTGCATAAACGCCACTTTTTCGAATTGGCACAACGTGAACGCGACGCGCTTTTACGGAGTATGCAGGCCTTGAAATACTTCCCTTCGCCCTCCATTTGTGACTCCTCATGTCCATTGCTCCTTGCCTCTAAACTCTCGAATCCTAAGCGCTTTTAACGTTCACGAATTATTATATCTACCTCATCGCTGCACGTCTTTTACCCCGAATCATCCATCCCTTCTCTCTCTCAGCGGTATCGACCATATCTACTCATTCCTTCATTTATCTCAATTTCATCCGACCAATTCCTATCATTCAATCATTCAATCATTTTATTTCTTTTGGGATTCATCTGTCTTACACAATTACTCTCTTTCTCTTTGCATCGTGCGATCGGCCTGTCTAGTGCCTATTGTAGACCGCCAATCCTCCAAGGCTCCCCCCACTTGGCGCTGACCAAAACAAAACATCCCTCTCTCTCCCTTCTTCCTTCACCATGGCCACTCTCACTATGACTCCTACTCGTCAGCCTTTGGGCTGTTTGGACATGCCATTGATGCGATCGAAACTTAATCGTCAGAACCAGCAAAATGGTACGTGATGACCCATGTTTTGATCTTCCCAAGATGGCTTAGCTTACAATTCCAACCAGGTGCCATGTCTATGAAGTCAACCCCAATGAAGAGCTCGATCTTCATTGATGCCGATTCCGAGAATGTCAACCCGGCCAGCTACTCAACAAAACGCAAGCGTACATTCGAGGATGACGAGGACAAGAGCGCGTCTAAGCCCATCAAAACATCCCGCATGGCTCTTTCCACCCGCATCAACATCTCCCCTCGTCTATCCACCCCTTCGAAGATCCCCTCAATTACAACTCCCAAATCAGCTCCCATTCTCAAGCCCGCTGGTCGCTCCCCACCACCCAAGTCGAGCAAGTCAGCTACTCGCCGTTCGCTCATCGCCAAACCCCGCTCAGAGCAATATAGCAAGCGCGGCGTCTCTCGCCCCTTCTCTCTTGCCTCCGTCCTTGCCAAATCCACAACTCCCAAGCCTGCTCCTGCTCCCAAGGCCCCCGCCTCGTGGTCATTCGATATCCACGTCGACACCGAGCAGGAAGAAATGACCAACCTCATGCAACACTCGACCACTGTCCTGGATATCAGCGACGACGAGGGAAAGTCTGACACCTCCGCCCGTGGAAAGGAGAACGTCCCCCCTCACGAGCTCGGTATTGAACTCCCCAGTGCACGCCAGTCCACTGCCACTATTCCTGCTGCCGCTCGCAAGTCACCAAAGATGGATGAGCCCCGTTCTCCCCTCGGTGAGCTCAATGCTGCTGAATACTATGCCGAGGACTGCAATGCCTTCTCATACGCAATTGTCTATGATGATGAAGAGCACACACCCGAGTTCAAAAAGCCTTCTTCGCCTCTTTCGCAGAGCCAGGAGGCCTCTGTCACTACCTCCATTGCTGCTGTTTTGGATGCTGTTACTCCCGCGCCTGCTGAAACCCAGCAGCACAATCTTGGGGACTCGATTGATAGCACCAAGTCTGGTCTTTGATCTGTCTTCTCGTCATTCTTTTCATCTGCATCTGCATCTGGCTCAGTGGCGCTGTTCTTTGGCCTAGGGTTGGCCCCAATACCTATACCTATTTGCTTCATTCTTTGGTGTTTATCTTTCTGTTGCCTGGTGTTCGTCTCTTTTTGGGCACTGGTGTCCAGTCTATTAGGTGTTTTGGTATAACGTTGGCTACGAATTATGTATCTTTCTGCTTCACTATTGTGACCACTCGGATTGGCTTTCTCTATTCCGTCTAATTGATGAGTTATTGTCTTTTCCATGTCTGATGCTTCACGATGTATTCCAAGTCTTCCCATGGCTTTAGCGATTAAAATTAAAATGGATTCTTTTGATGAATATCTTGAGCACAAAGTAGCTACTATTTCTTTACGGAGTAGATGTAGCCAATTCTCAAGTAATCTAGGAGACTCCGTTACTCGTCCTCGTCTTCGTCCATGTCATCACTATCATCACCATCCTCATCATCATCACCGGCTTCATCAGCAGCTTCGTCGGCATCCCTCGCCGCAGCAGCATCCGCAACCTGAGCAGCCAACATCTCCCTCCGTTGAATCTCCTCCTCTTCACCCTCACTCTCCTCATCCGCTTTCTCGGGCTCAGGTTCAGGCTCCGGCTCCGGCTCAACACTCTTCCCCTTCAGAGCCCGCTTCCCCTTCCCTTTTCTCCCCTCCCCAACATCCCTCCTCACCAACCCAGCATTAGCCGACAAATTCCTCCAAATCGGCGAACTCCGGATAATCGCCCGAACCTCCGTAGCAAGACTAATCTCCTTCTGCGTCGCAACATCAGGATCAAGCGTGAAAAGCGGAAAATCAGCCTCAGACCGCGCATGCGCAGGAAGCTGCAGAATCTTCGTATAATCCTCATCAACAGGTTCCCTTCCTTCCATCAATGCCTGGATCTTATGTCGCATAATCGTCTTCGCCTTCGCAAGCGTGCCGTTCCCGAACCACCCATCGGTAACGATATCACACTCGCTGCGCAGGAACCCAGGTCCCGCATCGGGAGGATACAGATCTGCCCGCAGCTGTGCGTCTTGAATCTCGCCAACCATCCAGATGCGTCCGTCTTGCGCGAACGGCTGCTTGCCGGTGAAGATATGGCCCGTTGACGGCTCGCTGGCATTTTCGTCTTCGATTACACGCTGGTCGCTTGGTCGGGGAACGTTGTGGCGTCGGCCGCCGCCGCCATCGCGTGCGAGCTCGGCTTCTCGTGCCAGGAGGCGGAACATGAAGGTTTGGTAGTGGCGGTACTCGGGTGAGGTGCGTGGGTCGACGCCCAGCTTGATGATTGCATCGCGCCATGGGCCGGATCGGAAGATGTAGCCCACATACGGAATTGCGTGCCGTAGGTTCAGGCGGTCCTCGTCGGTTGTTAGGTTGTTGCGGAGTCCGCGACGTGTCCAGGCCGGTTGTTTTTCGTAGAGGGCGTTTAGTGTTGCGATTGTCCGGAGCATACCTGCGTCCAGTGCGCTTATTGGGAGCATGTTTGCGCGTGGCTCTGATGGGACTTTGGGTATGTCGTAGGGGACTAGGTGGGTTAGGATCTTGTTGGCCGTTTGGGTGTTCACGGTTTCTAGTTTGCCGGAGCGGCCGATGGCTTGTTTCACTGTTGGGTTTTGACGGTAGCTAGGAGGAATAGGTTAGTCGTCTAGTGGTCTTGGTTTGGTGTTTTTAGTATAGGAGCTCTTACATGTAGTGGAATGGGACGTCTCCATGGCTGAATGATGGCGGTGGGATGAGATCTGCGTTCTCGGCAGCACCTTTGGCCATGTCGATATCAAATTGCTTCATTTTGTCGACTGTCGATTGTTAGTGTTTTTCTAGTGAGATGCATGTCAGGCCGACTTACAGTCAAATGGAAGAATTTGCTCTCGGAATCGGTTCGTAAATGAACTCGCTGTAGTCGAGTAGACGAAATCAGGGATTCCTACCCTCAAGTGTTAGCAAACTGGTAATACATCATCTAAGTAGTGAACTTACCTCGGAACACATGTGTGCGTTCAACCCTTCCAACTGGTTCAATCTGGTACTTCGAAGGGTTATCACTCATGCTACGCAAGAGATCCTTCGCGGTCCGTCGCGGGGCCGGCCCGGGTGCCTCTGAATCTGGCGCGTCTGTGAAGGGCTCGTTCGAGCCTCTCTTGCGCTTCCGTCCTGTCCGCTTGGGAACAGTTACTTTGAGCTGAACATTGTTCGATTGAATGCTCGTTGACTGGACCGATCGAGCCATGGCATCTTCTGGTCGCAACACCAGATTAGCTGGTGTACCATCTTTGGCCGGGTCCAGGATCTGCAGTATATCAGCCTATATTCAATATTGTCTCAAAGGAAGAAGTATTCTCACTATTTTTATTCCAGAGTCTCCTTGTAAGGTCTCGATCGCCTTGTCGACATTGCGGACCACAGCCGGGTGTTCAACGCTGACAAGCCGACGGGATGGCACCGCGTAGAAGGGAGCAGTTCTGGCCCCCCGTTGGTCATCCATTCTGATTGATATTATTCAGACTTGTGGATGCTGTGGTTGCAGTATCATTTGCACTAGCTTTGAATCTCAATTGAGGTTGGTTGCCGCTGTTTCTGGTTTGCTATCGGGTGAGATCGCGCAAATGCGACCAAAGGCAACACTACCACTTTTCTCGGGTACTCCTCACTCAATACACCTGTTTGTATAGGATTCTGTATTTTTCTTCACCTTCACCACAATTAAACGCTCCCAGAGATATCCTTTGAGGTTAGGGAAAGAATCGAGTCTACATTCCACAAGCGGTTAGTGCGGGCTGAAGTCTCGCTGACTCATCATCCCATACCCGCACCAGCCAAGGTATACCGTCTAGGAACATTTTAAAAAAAAAAAAAAACCTTTCAAGATAATTCATTGAGTTGACATTTGAGATGCTCAAAGCAGTTTAATCAGATATCCTATATTTCCAGGCACTAAAAAAGCGGTCAATGACAGTTTATGCTACTCAATGAAGTCTGTGTCTCCCTTGTATATATCTCAGTGTATATTCTGTTGCATGTCCCTCATTTAGCTTTCCAAATAGTATTTGCTTTCAAATACAGTTAATAAAGAATCAGCCTCACTATCAGCCTCGACTCCCAAGAATATCATATGTCCTCGATTCATACAAAGGCAATATGTTATTGTGAACATATCATAGTAGCCAAAAATAAGATCACCTCACTTCCTTTTCGGGAAGACCCCTGCCAATATTAGGTTGTGATTGGTCGGGCCTTGCCAAGCATTCTCCCCGAGGTCCCCTTTCCAAAATTGGAAGTCATTTCAACAGATCACCCCTTTCGCCCGTCACTATGCCTATGAGTGTCTCTACCTCAATAACAACCAGCTCGCTGGAACCCACTTCAACCTACCAGTACGACTCCATTTTGGGTAGTAGCACGTCCTCTAGCGCGGCTGCTTCGGAGACCGGCTCCGACTATCCCGTGTTCCCAAACGGCGCCTATATCTCCAGATTTTATGTTGTCTCATCCCAGGAGTCTGGTCTCACCGACCTTGACATTGATCTCTACAATGAATGCTACCTACCGTATAACCCGTTGTCACACCACAATTTCCGGAGGGATGACACGACTGAAACCATCTCCCCCAAGCCAACCTATCTGATCAACGAGGCTCCGTGTAAACGACAAGCGGCGATTAATTCTAATTGCTACTTCCAAAATACAAACGGGTCATTTTCAGGCCTTCAGTTGTATTCTGGTGATTGGGATGTCCAGCAGCAATGCTATTGTGACATATATCCCTTCTTTGACTCGGCAACTGGTTGTCAAGAATGTTTTAGAAAACATGGAGGCATTGAGGGTGAGTCTTTCCCACAGCATGTCTTGTCTCTATGCTGTTCTCTTGGTTTAATCAGAAAAGCTAACTTCCACTGAGGCTACCACTGGTTCCCTGAGAGTTATGTGAAGGGAGTCTCGAGCGCCTACTGTGGCGCCAATCCCCAAACGACAGGGTTCTACCCTTTCGCAAATGCATGGTCGACTAGCTCAGCGGCCAGTTTGCCTAGTACTACGGCTGTTGACAGCCTAGGCACACAGACAGCGGCTAGTCTTTACTACACCTACGCTGCAGAAAGCACAGGTACCAGTGGTAGTGGCTCAAGCGAGAAAAACAGTGCTGTGGCAACCACACGCATGAGCTTGAAGAGAGCTTTAGTGGCTGCACTGCCACTCGTTCTGATGTTATCCCAATGAGGTTGTATGAATTTGGATGAAACCCAGTGAATAACTATGTATATATGTAATTATAGATTGTTAAATCTATTCGGCTTATCAGCTAGGGTGGACATAAGTCCTAGCACGATGTCCTACGACGGTATTTCAAGGACTGGTGTGAAATGAAGAAATCATCAATTGTAACACTAGCTCGCTGCTCTCTTCCACAAATTTCTGTCTTTTTGCTAAACGGGGTTTCACATGTCTGGGCAGTGAGGTAGTCCACATCGCAAAGCAACTATATAACTATTGAACAAAAGTTAAAGTCAAAATATCCCGTATCTCTATTGAGGGTGGGAGATTTGGCCGTGTACAATATTCTATCAGCTGCCTCCCTACCTATTCATGCAGTTGCCATATCTCACTACCCTGCTCTGGGATCGCTATTTGGCTCTAAGTCTATTGTCTGTTCTCTCTATGTTTTAGGTTTCTATCGTCCACCCTGTTGTCGTGGGTCTTTCCCTTGAATAGTACTATATACAGGCAGGCTCTTATGAGGTCCCACTGGTCATCCATAATATTTTCATCCTGACCTGGGGGTGTTGCTTCTGTCTATACTGTCGACATTGTTTTACTGTGAACATCACGTCTTTGCCTGGTAAAGATGAAGATCATTTGTGCTTGATAGACTTGACAACTCTAAACTATACGGTAACAGATAAACCCGCTAAAAAATAATGCTATGTAATGGCTCTGAAACAACTGCAGAACCAGGCGGGAAAACATCAAAGAGGTCCTGGTCAATAGACGCCTCACCACGCCACTAACAGGAAACCTCGCAAAGAAAAAAATTTGTGAAGAAAAACAAAGCATGAGTATACCCTAGGTGATACAATCACGAAACCCCGCCCACCTCAAAGGGTTCGGCAAAGCAACTCGATTGATTTAAAGCCCAGGAAGCTCCAGAGGAAACTCTTCCTCAATGTAGCAGGGGTCCGTGGGACTGAAATAGGTATTGTTCGTCTTGACATAGTCTTCAACCGAGGTTTTGGCAGTCTGATAGAAGCACCAAACTTCCATGGCCCAGTAGACTGATCCTTCTTCGCCCATCCGGAGGCGTAAGTGCTCCGTGGCTCGGAAGGCATATTGAAGATGTAGCTTGTCGCTATGGTGAGTGTTGGGACGGATCGTATGCTCCCTAGCATTGCACCAAGCAGAATAGCCAGCCTTAGCTTCCTATCTAATGGTTAAAAAATACCCACATGTGTAGAAATTGAAAAATACTCACATCAGAGACATGGATTGTCAAGATATGAGCCTTGCTATGTGTCTCAACTAGGTCATAGAAGGCAACACAGAGGTTCTTGACAGCGGCGGAAAGTTTCTCGATGAACTTTTCAGGCCACTCGGTCACTGAGTAACCACTTGCCTGCCATTGATCACCGCAGTTGATCCAGAATTCTTTCACGAATTCAATCAAGGCCATCAGTTCGAAAAACATGACCCCTAATACCCTGGGAGATCTGTAAAAGGTACCAATTGCTGTTAGTGTGTTTTACTAGAAGGGACTCGGGGGCAACTAAGCTGTACCAGATCACGTTTTCTGCCATCTCCTTGGCAAAAAAACACGCCTTGGACAAACCATTCGTCAAATAGCACTTAATCTCCAGGGGCTTATCGATCTCCCATTCGCGGACTGCATCGCGAAGACACGGCAGACACCAAAGGGTATTCAGTTGAAGGACTCCGTCGAATGACTTGCGCGGGGGCTTGGTCAATTCGTTCGAAGATAGTGTGTCTGACTCCTGACAAGTGATCTGTGGCATGATGAAATCCGCCATGATGGAAGTTGAGACCGTGAGAATAATATTTCAGAGAGTGGTGTACATGAAGGAAGGAGGGAAGTAAGAGCTAGTGATGAATGAACGGTCAGTATTTAAGTAAGAGTCAATTGATAATGAAATCTGGGGTATAGGGAAAGATGGCGAGTGAGGATGACTGATTAGGCTTGTTATGAATGATACTTCTTTGGAATTCTGTTCATCTGTTTTGGTCGTGGTGGTGTGAAGAAGCGAACAACGATCACTATACAAATGATCTATTTATACTCACAATGTAGCTCTTCATGCCTTAGTGCAGTTTTCTAATGAGACTATGTGCTCTGATCTTGTGAAGTTACCGCTTTGAATACGTTGGAATAGATATTGTAGATTAAATTGAGTAGAGGCTATAGACGACTTGAGAAAAAAAAAGGCAACATAAGAATGACTATGATGAGATCCCTGGTTATATATATGGAATATTCTTCACACAAATAAAGGTTACCACCCTCGTATACACCTTCATGTAGACCTAAAAGGACATCTAGAAAGACATCTAAAAAAGACACACGAAAGTGCAACTTCCATCTACAAGCCCTGTTGTCACCCAGGCTGCTTCTCACCACCAGAATTCTGGCATGGAAACGGCGAGTGATTTGCTGCCACGGCCATTACCCACACGCACTCAAGAGAATGGGACTCACCACACATCAATTTCTGAGACAATTATTCCGGTCAGATTATTCTATGAATGAACCTCCTTTAAGGACGACATTCGTCAGACAATTGGAAATATTGATCTGAATAGTCTGAATTTCTAAAACTAAGGCCAAGTGTTTGGATTGACTGCCCAAAGTCTGTTATCGAAAACTAATATAGTGGTGAACTTCTAGATATTGGAACAAGATGATGACCTACCAGGTTCTTCACGAGAAGTGTCCTGAGTGGTATAGTTCTTTCCCATCGCCAGGAGGCGAGGAGGTGGAGACGGCGTATGATAACGAGGCGGCAGATAACGATGAATGAACGTGGTATAGTTGGCTAGATTGAAGGGAATGCTATTGAATTTACTGGTTACCTGCTAAAACCCATATTTCACTCTTGTACGGAGCCTCGACGATGCTGCCATTTCAGTGATTTCACTGTTTCATGCCGATGGTTTTTGTGCCTGAAATTCGAGTCGAGTCCCCTGGTGGTCACGTGTTCAATGACATAAGCATAATTTGAAACAAACGGGGAAAAAGCATACAAAAGTTGTGTTAGGACAAGAGGAGGCGAAAATAATTGAAACTGCCGAGTAAATTCATTTTCTCAAACTGAAGCATCAAGAGATTCACATCACTTTTAAATTAAAAAAAAACGTAGTGTCCCTCACATAGTACTTGGACGTGGTCCCCCCCTCCCATCACCATCGCAGCCAGGAGAACCAGCCCGCCTTTCCCTACACCTCAACAACAATCCACTTCCCTCCCTCCTCTCCACAACCCAACGCCATCATCTTTATTTGGTCCCTTGTACATCGGCGACTTTGCCTCTTTCTAGTTAAATCGTGAGTCTTGTGATTTTGCAGTGGGCTGCGACTTGAGTGCCCGTCCCTCTGGTACTCCCAAACCCCCCCGCTCCCAGCCTGCCACTAAGCGACACGGAGATCCTCCAGCGCCGGCCAAGCTTGTCCTATAACACCTCTCCCCAAGCAGTTTCCCACTCGATCTGTCAATTGCCCAACCCCAAACTCCGGAAGTACGTTTGATCGGACACCTGTTTCCTATTGCCTGTATTGGCCCTTTCTTCCTAGCATCATCGTCTAGCTCCGTGCGCGTGCTGCGACTGCACATTGTTTGGAGCGCCTGACGCTGTTGCAATTGAACCCCAGTTTCTCCCCCATACATTGCCGGGGCTTGATATCGGCATTTCAGCACTGTTTCCCTTCACAATACCCGTCTTACATGCTGTGTGACTCGGACCGCTTATAAGATTCTCCTATTAGGTCGATCCAAACACTCCCCCCCTCGTGGCTTTCCTGAGCGGTTATCTCCGTTGGCTCCCCTCGATTCACTCCGGCTAGAGTGCGCCGCCTGGCTGCACTAGCACCAAGAAACCTAGCCGAGTACATGTGGCTATCTACACAGTCGTCAAAATGAAGGGTTTCAGACAGAGAGTGGTGAGTTACCCGCCTATCCTGCCCAAGTGCACCTCACCGCACCATCACTTCTGCCCATTTATTCTCTTCTTCACCCTGCAGGTAGAGCTATTTTATTCATTTCGCAAATCATCTAACATTTTGTGCCTTGCTTCTAGCACGACCAGTTGTCGCGGGCGAAGGACAACAAATCCTCGAAAAAGAAAGACGCCAACTCCACCTCACAGAATCAGTCCCTCGGCATTTCCAACACACAGCAGTCTACTTCCCCCAACCAAGGGACACCCACATCCTCCACAACGTCTCTCAACGACTCGCGAAACAAATCGCCGGACAACGCTCCCCCGCCGGTACCCCTTCCGCGGGCGCACCTCACCCTGGCACCCCGGTTCAACACTATATACCCCAACCGGGCGCCGCAGGACAGCCTGTAAGCAATGGACCGGGAACACCGAATAGGCAAGGCCAGCCGGCAGCTCCCAGCGTCATCATTAGCCCAAGCGCACCGGTAAGTTGAATTGCTTCACAGTTTGGAGACTATTTGCTTTTGCTAACAACTGGATTCTATAGCATGTCCCCCCTCCTGGCGCCGCCGAAACAATGCCCGGAGATCTCGCACCTCCTAGGAAGTCTCATGTCTTCGACCGCCTACAGACGACTCCTAAGGACATGTCGGAAGGTATCCGGACTCCCAAGCGCCAACATTCATCGCGATTCGACATCTCCGATCAGCGTCAGAGAGAATTGGAAAAGTTGCCGGGATTCCACGAAGTGCCTCCCAACCGGCGCCAAGATTTGTTCATGCAAAAGATCGACCAGTGCAACATCATCTTCGATTTCAACGACCCGACGGCTGATATGAAGTCCAAGGAGATCAAGAGGCTGGCACTACACGAGCTCTTAGATTACGTTGCCAACAACCGGTCGGTCATTACAGAGCCCATGTACCCCCGCGTGGTGGAGATGTTCGCCAAGAACCTGTTCCGTCCTATTCCTCCGCCTATGACGCCCCAGGGCGAAGCATTTGACCCGGAGGAGGACGAGCCCGTCTTGGAAGTCGCTTGGCCCCATATCCAGGTCGTATATGAATTCTTCTTGAGATTCATCGAAAGCCAGGATTTCAACACGAATATCGCGAAGGGTTATATCGACCATCAGTTTGTGCTTTCGGTATGTCTTCTGATGCTTGATTTTCGTGTTTAATGCAAGCTAATGCTCCATCTAGCTGTTGGACCTTTTTGACTCGGAAGACCCCCGGGAACGTGATTTCCTGAAGACAACCCTGCATCGCATCTATGGAAAGTTCTTGAACTTGCGCTCATATATCCGCCGATCCATCAACAACGTGTTCTTCCAGTTCATGTACGAGACAGAGCGCCATAACGGAATCGCTGAATTGCTCGAGATTCTGGGCTCCATCATCAACGGGTTCGCCTTGCCGCTGAAGGAGGAACACAAGCTCTTCTTGACTAGAGTGCTCCTTCCCATGCACAAGGTGAAGAGTCTGAGCATGTACCACCCGCAATTGGCCTACTGCATCGTGCAATTTTTGGAGAAGGACTCTTCATTGACTGAAGATGTAAGGCCTCATCTATCTTTCTCCAGTATCCCTCTAATATTAACCACTGTTTAGGTTGTTCTTGGCCTACTGCGCTTCTGGCCTAAGACAAACAGCACCAAGGAAGTTATGTACCTGAATGAGGTGGAAGACATCTTCGAGGTGATGGATCCGGGCGAGTTTGCCAAAGTCCAAGAGCCTCTGTTCAATCAGTTGGCCAAGTCTGTTGCCAGCCCCCATTTCCAGGTCGCTGAGCGTGCTTTGTACTTCTGGAACAACGAGTACTTCTGTAACCTTGTCAGCGACAATGTGGAGACAATTCTCCCACTTATGTTTGCTCCACTTTATGAGAACTCAAAGGGGCACTGGAACCGGTGAGTTTGATCTGCATATGCTACTAACTTTAACATGAGCTAACGCACCATTCAGAACAATCCACAGCATGGTGTACAATGCCATGAAGATGTTCATGGAAATCAACCCGCAACTCTTCGACGAATGCTCTCACGATTACACCGAGCACCAGAACAACGCAGACCAACGCGAAAAGTCTCGCACAGACCGGTGGGATGTGATTGAACAACAGGCCAAAGATCGGAAGAATGGCATTCCCCCACCACCACCTCCCGCTCTTGATGTGCCCGAGCCGATCGACGAGGTGGAGGCCATGACCCACGAGAGCCAAAAGCGGTTGAACTCCCTGAAGTTACAAGAGGATCCCGATATTTCCAAGGATCGGCCCAGCCGGGAAGGCACACCTAATTCGGTAAGCCCAGTGCATCTCTGATCTGCGTTGCTGCCCAGATACGTGCATTCCTATGCGAACTACTTCGTTTTTGTTTGGCCCTATCGCCCTCGTCATTGTCTTTTGCTAAGAGACCACGTCCGCCCATGTACAGCCAGCGTGATTCTAACGTGAAAACGTCCGTTTGCTCCAGACACGACGCCGAGGCTCGATTCGCAACACTGGCCGGCGGCGACGGAGCGGAAGCGGCAGTGAGATTCGCCCGCGACGACGATCAGTCGGCAGTGGTACCAGTGCAACCAATGTACAGATCATGCATCGAAGCAATTCGACCAAATAATGTCTTGGAGGAGATGGACCGTTGATGGACATGTGATTTTCCCGTTTATTTTCTCCTGCGATGGCATAGCGAACTATGGGGCAATGATATTTTTGTCTTTTGATTTTCGGCGGTACTCGCCCGGACTGATGCCCTCAACCTGTGCCCCCTGCCCTTTTTTATTTGTCTTCTCATTTTCTTCCCCTTTTCTTTTGTGTACATGGATTTCCTTTTTTTTCTCGAGATATTTTCCCTTCCGCGACGGGCTCCCTCAAAATTTGAGTTGGAACCAGTCTTAGAACCGTGTTCGGGTATGGAAAACGGGTGCGAATGGCGTTTCATCCATTGACCACAATGTCGGTGGCTGTCTATGTGTTCTTTTGTTGTTTCTCTTCTATTATTTTAGACCAGTTCTAGGATATGATATTGCCTTGGAATCTGATGTTTGGAGTGCTAGTAGACTTGCTTGGATGTGTACTGGAAACCAAGTTTATCTCCCATGTGAAGCTTTAGATCATTGTAGGTTGTCTTAAATAACAATTTAAACCGGGACACGGCAGTATAAGAAATTACAAAACGTAAAAATATCAAAAGACCGGTGTCGAAAACTAGATAACAAAAGAGAACGTTATAATTGACCTCGACGCATGTATTTTCATCAAAGGAGCGATCATGAGAGGTTTGTAATCGAGAGAGATATGATTGTCATCCAATGCTGGTGATGACGGTCAATGGCTTGGTCGCATGATGCACAATCTGTTCCAGCTGATCGAAAAGGCGATCCATGATATCCGAAGCGTATTCCTCAGATACGGTCGTTGACCAGTAGCGCAGCTCCACCTTGAAGTGGGAAGGGGAGGGAAGGATAGCCACACAAAGGTCATACTAGAGGAGTTGTCATTAGTTAGTCTGATCCTGACTCCAGTTCTAAAAACACTCACCTCTGTTGCATCCTCCAAATCGATGAGTTTAATATCGATCTCGTTGCTCCCATCCTTCGCAGGGGATGCTTGTGTTGAAAATGGGTTCTGCACCGTCAGAACTGTATTAAACAAATGCTGATCTTTGTCCCAGCCCCTTATTCCACATTTGCGGATCATATCTGGTATAGAGCAGTTTTGGTGGTCATTTCGACCCTGAATATCCTCCTGGTTCTGTCGTAGGGTATCTAGCACCGTCCGCATGGGATCGATCGCAATTCGACACGGAAGGACGTTGAATAAAGATCCAACGATGTTCCATACTTCAAGTTCGGGTGTATCACGCCCTGAAGTGATAGTTCCGAAGCACACATCGCGGGAGTTGGTATAGTGGGCGAGTGTTAAGGCCCATGCAAGTTGGAAAACGTTGGTGATAGTGAGATGATTGGAGCGCCAGAAGGAATCTAGACGCTTTGATTGCGCAAGTGGGAGGGCCCGGCTCTGCAAGCGAGGTTCAGACACAGGGAACTGCTTGGAAGGTACTCTGGGCAGGTGGGAAGGGTAAATTCCATAAAGCGCCTTTGACCAGTATCGCAGTGTTTCTGCAGGTGACTGGCTGGACAGATGGGACAGGTATTGACGATACGAGACTCCCTTCTCTGGCAAGGGCTGACCCTGGAGGATGAGAGAAAGCTCTTCTAGTAGGATGTTCATAGAAAATGCGTCAATCAAGGCACAACCCATTTCCAGCCTCATGAAAACTGCCCCAGAATCGCCTTGACCGATAATTAACCGGTGTGGTGGTGACAAGCCCCAGGATTTGACTGGTTCGAAGTTTTTCAGTTCCGAAAGGGCATTCTTGCTGTGAGGAAGAGCAACAATTTGAGATGGTCCCTTATCGAGTACTACATGGAGATAATCTGCGTGAACCTTTGGATTTTTCATGAGAACCGTCCGCAAGGCGACATGGCGGTGCACTAGTTGACTCCAAGCGTTCCTAACCTGCATAGCAGTAACTGATCCCGGATGAGAAATTTCAAAAATTGCAGTGCTCGTGTAATTGGACGTATAGAGCTCCAATACACCACTGTGGGCTGCAGAGCATGGGTAGATCTCTTCAATGGAATCTGATTTCAACAAATTCAACTGAGATCGAATCATATCTAGCTGGTTATCGATGTCCTCAAGCTGGAAAAGTTGATCTTCACGTCCAGTTGAGTCAAGTGAATTCAAAAGTTTCTGGCGCTTGGAATTGAAGATCTGGTCCTGAACCACAACAGCATGCGTGCAAAACAAGGATACAGTGTTCTTTGAGAGGAAATCCTGCATCGAGATGGTGATGTTTTTTCTTCGACACAAAGTGAGAACCCGCATGGCAGTGATGGAATCACCTCCCAGAGCGAAGAAGCTATCATCCATACCAATGGCCTCCTCATTTAATGACAAGGCTGTGGCGAAGCTTGCACGGACGAATCGCTCCTGCTCTGTGGTTGGCTCTCTTTTCTCTGCCATCGCATTGTCCAGATACATTTCCAGTGACTCTCTATCCATTTCCGATGCAATCTGGCGTAGTGTCTTACGGTCGACCTTGCCACTTGGGCTAAGGGGAAGACGAGAGAGCGGCAGGACGAAGGAAGGTATCATATACGGTGGAAGGTGTTGGGCGAGATGATGTTTCATGCCCTCAAGATAAGTTTGATTTTGTGTTGATGGTGAGAAAAACAGTTCCTGGTAGCTATGGCAAGCAGGGTTGATGCCCACCGTCATCTCGACTGTCGTAGGGTCATAGACGAACATGATAAGTCTGGGTCTCTGGATGCCGGCAGGTCGTATCAACTCCACAATGACCGCGGTACCATGTTGGTATCTCTCGGCACAATGTTCAATCTCGTGTAGCTCAATCCGCTGCCCATTGAGTTTGACCTGTGTGTCCTTTCGGCCAACCAAAGTTAAAGACCCGTCTGCGTTCAAGACAGCGAGATCTCCGGTCTTGTAAAGTCGGCCTCCTTGCAATAACGGGAATTTCTCGCTCCAAGCAGGATCACGAATGAAGGCCGCTGCAGACTCCTGGGCTCGGTTGATGTACCCTCTCCCAACAATGGGCCCACCGATTAGTAATTCTCCCACCGAGCCCACAGGCTGAAGTTCATCATGGTTTTCCGGGTCAACGATCCAGCAGGACGCGTTTGGGGAGGATCCGACGTTGCCCAAATCCGAGCTGGGGGTCAATGGTGCGGTGGTGGTCGTGTACATGGCACACTCAGCAGGCCCATAGGATTGATGCAACTGGACCCGCGAAGCCCAGGTTGCCAGATCGGAGGCTGATGGTGGCTCCCCTCCAAGAATCAGGGTCTGGAGACAAGGGACTGCGGCTGGCGAGAGGGTTCGTGCCACCGACGGGGTCAGCATGGCCATATTAACCTGCATGGCTGTCATCGCCTTCGCTAGGCTGTTCATACGTTGAGATTCTGAAGGCACACAGACACATCCTCCCACACCGAGAAGAAGTATAATCTCGGCGAGGCAGATGTCAAAAGCTGGCGAGGCGAAAAGTAAGCCGCGGGATGCAATTGATGCGCCGATGACGTCCTTATGTGCCTTAAGCATCGAATATACCATGCCATGTTCGATCACAATACCCTTGGGGGCACCAGTTGATCCGGATGTAAAGGCAACATACATGGGATCTTGGTATGACACTGCCGATGGAGTCCAAGCATCGCAGTCCGCCTGGGTCACGATATCGGGGGTCAGAACCAACGTAGCGTCGACCAAGCCAGTACACTTCTCTTGGAATACCGGAGAGCATATCATCGTTCGCACTCCGGCGTCTCGCAAGATATGCTGCAAACGTTGCTTGGGGAAATTGGGTTCTAACAAAACCATGGCGGCTCCAGAAATCAACACACCCAGGATGGAAACGGGGAACCATTTCGATCTTTCGACACAAATCCCGATCACCGCACCGGGCCCCGATCCTGCTTTAAAAGATTGGAGATGACCTGCCAATGTCCGCGCGGAGGCGACAAGTTCTTCATAGGTGAGCGAGCCATCCCATGCGCAGATGGCCTCTGAGTTGGGCTGGGTGACAGCGAAGCCTTGGATGATATCGTGTACGCAATGTAGCTCGGGGTGGCTCTTTTTGTTTATCGCTGCCAATTGCTGCCACTCGGGAGCAAGCTGGCTTTTCAGGTCCCCCATTGTTGCTCTGGGCTCGAGGAGGATTCGTTGCAACAAAGTATGAAATTGTTCTAAGAGTGCCTCAACCCTATTAGGGCCTATGACGTAGCTGTTAAAGACGGCCTTGACCTCTAGCAGTTCACCTTCCTGTTGAGCCACGATTGATAGGGGATACGACGCAAACTTTAGGTCATAGTCTTCGTTTTCGGGTAAAGCAATCAAGGCACCGGGAGCAATCTGAAGGGATTGCAACCTGATGGTGAGAAGATTCTGGAATCCACAAGCCAGGGCCGCGTCTGAGCTTGATTCCGCAATATGCCTGAGTCCAATATGCTCAAATGGCATTATAGAGACGTCGTGCTGTCGCATTTGAATCAGCATACCTTCCACCGATATATCGTCATCAAGCTGTGTGCGGAAGGGGAATGTTGCAAAAGTTGGCCCAGCAATACGATCGATCTCTGGAACTGGAGCGTTCCGGCCCGAGACTGTCAATCCGCAAACCACATCATTCGAGTGAGTTTGGGAAGAGATCACAAGAGACCACGCTAATTTGATTTTATTGGCGAGCGTCCAGTTCGTATCTGACTTGGCCAGAGTGATTTGCTGGCTTCTGATTTGCCAGTGTGGCTCGGCTGATGACCGCCGGGGAGAGACAGGGAACGTTGTTGCTCCGAAATCATTGAACTCTTCACTCCAAAAAGAGCGACCTTCCTCAATGCTCAACTTGGAGATGTAGTCAATGACATGGTTGAAGGCAGGGCGTGGTGGCAGGATGTCCCCATTATAAATCATCTGGAGGTCCTTGAGCAGCTGCATATATGACCATCCATCAAAAAGAGCGTGGTGCATAGTCAGTACGAATATGCCAGAGTCCAATCCGCCCGAAGTTCGTCCAGGATGGAATGTCACACGCGCAAGGGGGCTCCCAAGTTCATGGGCTGACAAGCATCCATGGTTGAGATATTCTTGCATGATGGGTTGTTCTTGATGACTACTTGAAGCTTTTGACCATCTTGAAGTTGGATTATGCGTGTTCGGAGGATGGGATGTACGAGCCAAAGCTGTTCCCATGCATCCCAGATCCGATGAAGGTTGGTAGAAGGAGCTAATGAGAATTGATATGTTCCCAAGAAAGCTCCTGGATTCCTAATGGACAGATGCATGAGACCTTCCTGCAGAGGGGTGCAAGGGTAAATGTCTTCAATCATTTCTCTTTTAACACCACATTGGGCGGTCGCGGTAGATAGACTCTCCTCGGTATTCTCAAGAAGAGAGAATGGCGGGATCTCGTGAAGTTCTTTGCTTTCCACAGTGCAGCGCGCGATCTGTCGTGGATTCTGAAGACTGATGACATCTGCCACCGTGATCTCCAGACCACGCTTGCGTGCACAGGCTACTAGTTCGATAGCAGCTAATGAATTCCCTCCCAAGTCGTAGAAACCATCTTCTGCGCCGATGCTCGCTTCCAGACAGCCCAATACCTCAGCAAAGACTGAACACAGGGTAATCTCCTTGGCGAAAAGCTCTGGGTCCAGGTCGACATTTTGTTTGTCACGCTGATTTGATGGGTGTTCTCCAGATGGCGAGTGACTCGATGTTGTTCCAAGGTCGATCAAGGCTCGTCGATCGAGTTTGCCAGTTCTCGTTAGAGGAAAGCGATTGACAAAAGTGAACTTGGTTGGGATCATATATGGCGGTAGACAGTCACGAAGCCAGTGTTTGATGTCGGTCACCAAATCCAGGAGTGTGTCATTCATGGGGACAACGAAGCTTTCCTTCATTGTATGACTCTCATAATTATCAGCGGCAATGAATAATGCAAGTGATTTCCCTGCACTGCTACTGTTGACTTGAATTACATCGGCCACCGCAAGTATTCCCTTCCGAACCTTGGAGGCATGATGCTCAATTTCCTGCAGGTCAACGCGTTGCCCGTGGATTTTCACCTCCCGGTCTTTGCGCCCGACATATCGCAACGAGCCATCCTCAAGGTTATATCGCACAAGATCTCCAGTTTTGTAAACACGTTCACCTGACGGAATGCCGAATCGCTTGGCCCAACGAGGGTTGGAGATGAAAGACTTCTGGTGGGGTTGGTTGAGATATCCTCGGGCTACGATTGGTCCACTGACGAGTAGCTCTCCCACCGCACCCAGGGGCTCAAGCTGGTCATGATCATGAGGGTTGACGATCCAACAGTGACTGCTGTAAGAACGACCGATATTATTGGGATCATCTAGTTGTACATGCGCCTGTATAGTGGATACCACGCTGCACTCGGCGGGGCCGTATGCGTTGAGGAGTTGAATCTTCCCCGACCCCGACCATTGTGTGATGTGGTCTTGAGACATGGGTTCACCCACAAGCAAGACGGATTTCACGTCCGGCACCTCTTCGGGGTTGATAAAACGTGCAACAGATGGAGTCAGTTCCAGCCAGTTGGCTCGCAGCACCCGGATAGCATCTGCGAGACCGTTGAGCCGCTGCCGTTCCGAGGGTATACAGACGCAACCACCTGCCACCAAAGGCATCAGTGCTTCGAGAATACTGCTGTCAAATCCATATGAAGCAAACTGAAGCGCCCGCGTCTCGTTATTGATATTCTGGACTGCGCTCTGAGACAGAGTATTTGCAACGAAATTCTCATGTCCAACCACAATTCCTTTGGGCTTTCCGGTGGACCCAGAAGTAAAGGCGACGTATGCGGCGTTTGAAGGCTTGACAGATGTGTTCAAGGCACTGTTGCCTTTATTGACTTGGCTCTTGATTGTGTCGAGAACCGTGATTACTCCAGGACCCAGCTGCTGACCCAGTTCCTGCAATGCCTCCGACGCGATGGCAACTGTTGCCTGCACCTCCGAACAGATCTCAGCCAGACGAGCCATAGGGTGAGAGTGATCGAGGAGAACGAAAGCACCTCCCGCTCTCAGGACTCCCAGCATGGCGACCACCGTCCAGCGCGACTTTTCGAAGAAGAGCGGAACCACCGACTCTGGGCCAACACCAAGTAACAGCAGCTGCAGTGCAACTGCCTGTGAAAATTGATCAAGCTCCGCATAAGTGATGGAACCATCCCAAGCGCACAGCGCCTCGGCATCTGGTTGGCTCCGGCAATGCTCTAGGATCAAGGTATGAATGCACACTTGTGGTCGTGCGAGTGAGTACGGGTTGTTCCATTGCCGGATCAATCTGGAGCTATAGGATCCCAGGAAATCCGCCTCTCGGAGTGATAACCCTGGACTCATAACTATTTGCTCCAGAATGTGAACCAGAGCCGTTAATTGTGACCAGGCTTGGTTTACTGTGAGAGATGTGCTGGAGTACTTCATGGATACCTGGACTGGTGATATACTACAATCCAAAATAATCATAGTATTGAACGCACAGGGCAACTAAAGCTTTATTAGTACGTTGTATGAAGAGCGCATTATCCACTCCTACTCACAGATGTCGGACCCTTCGGTTCATTATGCCACCGGATGACCACAGCCGTTGAGGCCTGTGTCCCCGCAAGAGGCTCTCTTTGTGTTTCCTTCGCCGCATCCACCAAGAGACTATCCGGACTGTCTGATATTTCCCAGGTTTCCAAATGCGCAGGTGACACCACCAACATCGAACATGCATCCCTCAGCGGAGCTACCAGTTGTTCCAACACTGCAAATGTTGCCGTTTGTGTTTCCGAGAGCCGACCATGTAACAAGGCCCAGGATGCCTTGAGAAGATGAGGCTGGAGCAGCGCTTGGCCATTTTCCGTCCATTCTGCTTCCAATTCCTTGCGCAAAGGAAGGGAAATAGTATGGTAACCATCATAAGTATCCATGGCGATGGTGGACAAGTACTCCAAAGGTTAAGGTTGCTCCCGAGATATGAGGGTTCCTTCATAGTAATCAATACATGGAATCTTTGTAATCGAGCCCAAATGGCTTCTCCCGATATACCTCTTCAAAACGCCAAGAATGGGTTGTCAGCAGCAAGAATGTTGCTATAGTTGCCAAGCCGAACCTAGCCACCAATAGTTCTCAGTGCGTGGCCACAGCTGAAACCATGCCCGCAAGTCCTTGCATATATCAACGCCATGCGCTCACCTAGATCAGCGCAATGCGACCATGCATGCATGTTGGTCCTTGCTGATCGACATTACACCCACATGTACTTTGTACACATAATATTGTGGCCATTCAGTGATGTCACCCTGGGTTGTCAGCCTAGGAATTGGGATAAGATCGTCTCTATCACCGGACGTACCCATTTAGATAATTACAGTAAGGCTCTCCATTACAAATTGAATCCAAACTCGTCATTTACGAGGCAAAATCCTCTATTCGTTACTTCCGTTTCTTTCTAACGTCAGCTCCGCATAATGCCAGGTTACATTTTTCTTGCACTGCAGTTAGGAGTCATATCGCTTCTAGTCACCTTGTGGCACGCCTTCCGGCCTGATACTTGGTCGAATCGAGTAGTCTCCTACATACTTCATGTCGGTAATACTCCGAAGTCACAGACGGAATACTGCTGACGTTTATTCTTGTATCAATGTAGAGAATTTTGCTCTGGTGGTACCCAATCTACTCGACAGATGGCTCGACACCCATCCCAACTGTCCCCTACCGATTTCCAGATGGCGGGGGTAGCCTTAAGTTCCTGGAGGGAGAGAACGTCTCTCGTCAGTGGGCCGAGCGATATGGCCCGGTGTATCGCATTTGGGTTGGCCTCACGCCAGAAATGTAAGTTACCTACCTATCCTAAGATTTACTACCCACACTAAACGAAAGAATAGTATTTTAACACGTGCGGATGAGATCAAGACGGTGTTTAAAGACTCCGGCAACCACCACAAGGCTTCAAACCTGAATGGTGGATGGGTAATGGGCGACCTAGTCGGAGATGGTGTCGGACTCATCAGCCAAGGACATTGGAAGAAGGTCCATGCCGTAGTTTCACCACCATTTACCCAGAAGCCCACCACCTATGTTCCCTTCGTCCAGTCCCGCATCTCACGCCATTTCTCCGAGTTATACAAGGAGTATGAAGGCGGGAAAGCGCTGCGAATCAAGCCCGCCGAGGATCTCAAGCTTCTGCCGTTCTGGGTTATCAGCGACCTCCTATACGGGGACTTGTCCACAGAAATGACAGAGGAGCTCTTGCTCATTACCGATCTGCGCACCGATGTGTTCCAATATGCCTTCAAGGGAGGTTTGTCACTCTTCTCCATCAGCAAGATATTTTACCCGACCATAAGGAACAAGCTGCAGGTTTTCCACACTCGTTGGGCAAATTTCAACCGGAAGGCGTATAAAGTTGCAGTGAACCGTGTCGATGCCTCTGCTTGTGCTATTGTTCCCTTGTATAGGGCTGTCGAACAAGGTCAGCTTACACCAACTGAGCTGATGCACACATTGGACGAAGCACTGTTTGCCAACATCGACGTGACTATTGGCAGCTTCTCTTGGATCCCACAATTTCTGGCTGAAAATGCCGGCATACAGACTGAGCTAAGAAACGAGATCTCACAGACGCGATCTGACCCAACTCCAGATTCCTGGGTTAAATACATTGCCAGCAACTCGACTCTGCTGGCGAGTTGTATCAATGAATCTGCAAGGTTGAAGCCAGTGACCAACTACACCTATGCACAGTCAATGCCCACTGACCGTGACGTTGGTGGATACCGTATTCCCCATGGGATCTTCATGGTAGTTGACACCAATGCGTTGAATATTTGGGATGATGCTTGGGGCTCTGATAAAATGACCTTTCGCCCACGGAGGTTCCTGGAGGAATCTAGGTCCAACTTTCGGTATCGCTTTTGGCGGTTTGGCTTCGGGCCCCGTCAGTGTATTGCACAGGCGTTGGCAGACACGATCCTCAAGGTGCTGGTTGCTTACACTGTCGAGAATTATCAGTTGAGATCCCCTGGAAAGTCCGCTGTAAATGAGGAGGATGCCCAGAAACGAGGTGAAGCATGGTTCAAGGTTGCTGAGCAGGAGATTATCTTGGAGGCTCTATAGTATACGTTCTTCTCTGGCTATAATCCGATCTAGCCACGTTATACTCAAAATGCATGAATTGATCATTTGGGCTCATTTATTCGAGGCTTCTACGTACCAACTAGGAGTACTGTCACTGTATTTCGCTGATAATGTACGCTTGTAGGCAATGGAATTTCCACCTAAGGTTTAGCACAGGCATATCAAATTTCGTGATCCCAATTAAATGTATATCTTGCAAGCCTTCTCTATCTCAATATTGCGAACTTATTAATATATACCACCTATGACTAAATGGTACTCCGTGCCTACATCATCTGCCACGTCTAACTAAATCTCGGTCCCGCTCATGTATGTATGGGTGATCCTACAGGTCCAAGAATGGGGACAATCGCTGCAAAGCGTAATTAAATCGAAATTTACAGCCCGGATCAAGGTCCCTAATCATCGAAGATCACTAGCGATCGATAGGTAATCGATGGTTCATATGCTATTTATTATTCCCTTCCACGCATTAATTCTGCATGATCCGATCCTTCTGACTATGAGTGGAGACCGATGTTGACCTAAAGTTATTTTGAGCCAATCGGCTCTCACAGCCCAGGAGAGTTTTGGCAGACCCACATTCATGGATAGGTATGCTCTCGAGGCAAGGAAATGCGCTAGCAGGAAGACATGTGTCAGATACGAGGTGGCTTCAGATCATTTCCAGGAACATTTTTACGGTGGGGAACTCAATTCCCTTACATCAGGCCCGATCCATAATTGCCGTGCGGATCACCCGTATTAGTCTCGATCCCATCTTGGGCTCCATAGGCTTGGCTGCATTGAAACTATAATGCTCTCACGCATTCCTAACTCACATCATAATGTGCATTGTATACAACCATGCATAATACATGATTCTTGTCATCAGAGGCAAGTAATCTCAAACCATTCTTGGCTTGAGGCTTTTACCTAAATAGGCCTAGTGAAATCCCAGCTGAAAGTCATCGCCGGACTCATGCTGCATTTTCAGGCCCCCTTGCTTGGCAGTCATATGTGCATTACAGGTGACAATTTTTAGTTGGGGATTGTCATACATAGAACATTTGACCTCATCCTTCAGCAATGTGTTGGCGTCCGAGAGATTAAGTTCAATAGTACCCACAAAGAACAGCGCATCGACACACCGCGTAGTGCGATCGGAATGTACTGGTCAATGAATGAGGCAAGCAATTTTCCGGCAAGCGCATGTAGAAAGATGTAGATTCAGCTCTCCATCTACCCCACTATCGCCAGGTAGTATGTCGTACGGCTCTACCCTCCTCTGTAATAGGGATCGGCGACCAAGTCGCCATAAAGAGAGGTTGCCTTATTTTTGCTGTAGTCACTGGTCTCAGGCCAGGAAGGTACACTGCAATCAAGCGCATTAAGATGAATGTCATACACGGGGTTGGCCCCAATGCAGTTGCTGTGCCCGGCTCTAGTGGAATCCATGTAATTATTGTCGGGCTCGGGATTGCCGGTCTTGTTGCGGCGATTCAGTTCCATTAAAAGCGACATGTGATAGTTCGCCTTGATAGAAGCCCGGAGAGTAGAGTACTAGGTACGCTTTGCGATACCCTTGAACGCCCATGCGTTGTTTACTAACTAGAGTAGGAGAAGAATAGCTTTGGGAAGCAATGCAGCAAATATTCTCAAAGTTGATACAATGGCAACATCTTGCTGCATGATCATTCCCCGTGGAACATTGGGCCATGTAGTATACGAGCATGTCAAGTGCCCGGGCATCGATTTGTGATTTGGCTGCCGCTCTCACGAATCATATCCGCAAAACATTAGACTTTCTGCATTCTGGTCAACCCCAATGTCCCAAATTACGTACAAGTAAGCTGTTCTCCTATCCATTCGTCTCTCATAAATACTATTGAGGCCGAACTAATGTGTGCTAAGCTACTAGTGATAGTACATGGTCAGGTATGGCCCCTTCTTCTTGGTGTATGAGAAGGATAGCCATGCCTGATGATCTGTTGCGACAGCCAAGTCCTTGCTGGGGCTAATATAACACAACTCACGTTAGCAACAAATATTGGGGTCATGTTTCTATAGAGAAGGAACTTACTAGTATGTCTGCAGATTATCGCGATAGACTGCAGCCTGCTCAGGCATGTCATAGCGCTCAAAGAATGCCGTGAGCACGTTGGCAATTTTCAGCTCCGAAATGCCGACCAAGGGGAAGTAGAATTTTGGCTTAGGCAATGCCTGGCCGGGATTCATCTCGTAGTTCATGATGAAGGGGACAATAGTGTCTGGATCTCCAGGCAGCGAGGGCCGCTCCGGCTCATCCCGCATGCCTTCGATAATACCGAACTCCACCCACAGCTCCCGCAGCATTTTTAGGCCGAGCAAGGTCTCTTCGTCATTGAGCTTGCCGCCCATTGTCCAGTGCTCCTCAACTTTTGCCAACCTCATGTCTAGCTCCATCAGGTACAGCTTGATCCGAGTTTCCGCTGGATCGACCAAATCACAGGACAAAAAGTAGAGGTCTGTCTGGCTCTGGGTTTGCATATAGGTCTCAATGACTTTGGTCGAGGGCTCGAAAACTCCTTGCTTGTCTACTTTGCGAATAGCAGAAAAGCACAGTTTGGCCACGTTTTGCCCAGTAACAGAAGCTTTAAGTCCAGGGTAGAAATACTCCTTGACTGTGATGCCGGTCTGGCCCAAATCCAAAGCAAGCAGAATTTGAGTCTTCCACGCGGTTCCCGAGATAGCTTCCGGGGACATGAGCCTTTCCTCGCGGTCAGTCAAAGTCAGCTCATTGACAAGCATCTGATGAAGCTCCATGTCAACAGTGGCAGACCCGATAGCCCTTAACTCGGCGAGGGTAGCGTGTACTGTGTGTCGATTGAGCGGGTCGACTCCTGTGCTAGCAATATAGCTTGTAGGCTCGAACGCAACCCGCGCAGTCAGGCCCAGTTTCTGGACATTCTGACTGAGCTCCACGGAGCCGGTGCCTCCGAGCAGACATTTGTATATATCTCTGCCGCCAGGGAAGGGCCCCAGCTTTGGGATTATGACATGCGCGAAGAGACACAGATATTCATATTGCTGATGGATGCTGTAGTTCCCGCTGGAGAGCATTCTTCCCAACATTGGGCCGACGGCATGCCAGTATTGGTATTGGTCCAGATTCGCAAAGGTCATCGACTTGCTGAGCGTGCGATGGGGCATATCTGCCTCTTCGGCAACCGCTGGCACAGAGGCCTTCAGAGCCTGAACAGTGGAAGATACAGTCATTTTGGTATGGTGGTATGAGTGTTTGTCTAGAAATTGTGTCGGAGATGTCGTATTGTTTAAAGATCACCCCAACTGCAAGGTATAAGGGTGGGTACCCTATATTCCACATGAATGCCAATAGCTCATATTTCCACGTCCCACCAGGGCCAGAGAACATGTCTCATGCAGCAGCAGTAAAAGTTCCGCTTGGTATGTGCTGAGCTGAATAGTTTCCGTGACCTCGTGCTGTACACATGGGGTGCTACGTTGGCATGTACCGAGTAAACAGGTCATATTATGCAAGGGACTTCGACGTACTCCACAGGGTTCCATTTGTTGCCGCATGACTCGGCTCATTTGAGTAAATGCCAATACTTCTGTTTTACTTTTCGGGTAGCTGCCGAGTCAAAGCCAAGATATTCCAAGGAAAGTCCATGCGCCCTTGAGGCAGCTAGTGGTTGGTTTGTGGGGGAGCAAAAATGCGTACATCAAGTTACCTTGCTGGCAGATCAACCCTGCGCGCTCCACAATAAAAACCACCTCCATGGCTTGGCTCTAATCACACTAACAGAAAGCCTAAGTTACCGGTGAGGGCCTGAAAATGGTGACTATTTTTTACCACCCCAAAGGGGTGTATGGGATGAGTTGGTTGGTAATTCAAAGTTGGGGCCCCGGGGCTCAAAATGTAACTATCGTGTATGTAGGGTCTCAGCAGACCTCTGGAGTCTTGAGGGGCCTAATTAATGCCTTACGCCAGTATACGTAGATATGGTTCAATTCTGGGTCTTAAATAGGTGACCCGCAGAATTACGAGAAACAATGCTGGGATACGAGAACCCAGCCAAGGTCGACAAATACCTATGTACCTACCTATAGGTATACCTCAGTGTCCAAATCTGTTGAAGCGTGTCCCATGTCATGATTCAAGGCTGACGAGGTAATCATCGGCAGTAGTTGCTCATTGCGTGTTTCTTCTTTACCACAACTTCCAAGTCACTTTTCGCACTTTTCACACTTTTCACACTTTTTATCTCTTCTCTCCCGACTTCAGATTTGAAACTTGTCTTTGTCCGCTTTTCACTATCGTCTCTGAGACATACCAAATCCCATACTATTATTTCCAAGGTTCTTTCCATATTAACCACCATGAGTATTAACCGTAAAGCAATCCGTACTCTAGACTAATATTGTTTGGCACAATGTCAGAGATATCTGACCCAGTCTCACCCAGTCTCAGCTACTACGTCTCATCACTCTGGTCCGGATTTAGTTGCATCAACTCTCTCTTCGCTTCCTTAGGAGGCGCCTATCGTTCACCAGCTCCCAGCTTTGAAGGTACCAGCACGACCAGAACGACCCCAGGGTGCAGAGTTCGAAGGAGTCGCGGACTTCCAGAAGCTCGCGGTAACTATTCAACAAGAAGTCAAAGACCTAGTCCTTTAGTCAGAAACCCCTGACACCATCAAACACCGGAGTCGGATTCAAGGTTTGTGGATTGACTGGCCAATTTGGAGAGGGGGGATCCCGAATCCCCGAACTGGTGACAGCGTTCTTGATTTCGTTGCAGCTGTTGCATTGAGCATGAACCAAAACCACGCCACCCAGGGGTCCTCTAGGCAGTAACAGGATGTCGGGTGGGAGAGATTGTGAATTCCCCGGGTGATTCAGACCTAGACCTAAAACGGGTTGCCGCTGATCGTGGCAATATCCACACGCAAAGAGTAGCAATTTTCGTTAGATGGGGCAATGACAATACTGGTGCAGAAAAGGATGCAATCACTATGGGTCAAGTGATGGATATCTTCGATATCCGGTGCACCCATCACACTCTGAAAATAACCGATTCCATGCCAGGCTGGGCTCTGGCAAACAAGATTCACAAAATGATCCTTGACTATTGTAAGTCCAAGCTGCATTCCATGTAACTTAATAGGCAGTTATTTTCTAGGATGTTGTATACAGTAAGGGGAGATTCAACCTCAAAGAGCTTCGGGGCATTGGTGAATACCCTTGTGACCATCCAGATGGTCATCACTTGATGTTTTCTCTCGATGGAAACTTATTGGCATGCTCTTCCATGAACGATGACGACGTTAGGGTCTGGGGAGCTGATACAGGAAAAGATACCCGAACGATTAGTGTGGTGATGTGAATAAATTTATCTTTGCTTCCCAGCTTGGACACGCTCTTGTTTCAGTTCTATGTCACTGTGCTACCAGGATGTTCTATCAAATTGCAACTATTGACTCAGACGCACATACTATTCAGTCGCATCATTACCTTTACCAATAATGTGTTAGAGATCGGTCTTCCATGGTACTTGGGCTGAGGAAACATACCTTCTCAATATACCTCACACCCACTTCAATGCCATCGGCATCTTCTAAATCGGCCTTCTCCCCGAAGTCGACATTTTTGGCGTCCAAGCATGTCAAACAAGTGACAACAACGTCGGAGTATCTGGTCCCCATTCGCTTCCGTAGTTCACCCTGCGCCAAGAGGAGGAGATGTCTTTGGAAATATACCCCTCCACCCGTTCCAAGAATAGGAGCCCGAGCAGGGGTCGGCGCATTGTCATTGCTTGCCACCGTCAACTCGTCGTACGACACGAATGACTCCCACAACCCCAGCTCCAACAAGCAAACACCAAGGCTGTAGATATCATGCTGCATAATATAATCTTTGGGAATGGTTCCTATGCGGTCTGGATGTTGGTAGAGGCACCGTTCCCAGGACGCTTCGCCTTTGCGCAAAGTTCTGCCAGAGGCCATTCGGAAGCTGTCAAATCCAATCAAGAAGTCAGACCCAATCGAGGATTCATCACTTCCCAGAAGCAAGATTGTCTTTGGTCATATGTTCTTGTGAACAAATCGAAACAAGTGAACAGAATGCACTGCTTTTGCAAGCTCGTTTGCTAACTTGAACCGGTCAGAGAGGGAGTGGCTATGGTTCATATCCTGAAAACAACCTCAGAGAGAGCGAGGTGGAAGATGTTGTGTTGGCATTCGTAAGATAATGGTGAATGCATCTGGCGTAGATTGAGAACAGTCGTCCTTGCTGTGGTGGATATATTCTTTACAGCTAAGGAGACCGAACTCGCCCGCATCAGATCCAGCCAACCGTCTGGCAAGATCTCGGATATATTTCTTCATGTCCCCGACATTAGCGCCTGGAAGAGGTTCAATTCGTTCCACGATGAGCGATTGGCCATTATCTGGGCTCCGGCCCACCTGCGCTGAGCAGAATGATATCTCCTGTGGGTTAATAGAAATGAGAGAATCCGATGAGAGGCGAACCGATGGAGCGTACCCGTCTGTCGGATGCAACGCTGCCCTGAGAGACTGGGCAGGAGGTATCTGGTCTTGAAATTTCATAGCAGAAGATCTTCGGTTCTTTCTTAGGCCATCATCAATTTGGCTATATGTGAGCCTCATGATCAGATACCACGATGGGTCAAATAGCGACTGCCATTCTTTCAGATCCTCGATGGTCCGGTCAATCTTTTCCTTCATGAATCTTCAACCTAGTGCCGAGCATTGCAATCGTCGCATGCTGAATCATCCGATACTTCTCACTGAGCTCGGAAGCAATGCCTCGCACCACACTCAGCTGAACCGCCGTCCTCATCCAGTATGTTTCCACACGGAGCGATCTCTCTTTAATGTCCACTTTGGCGTGTGCAACTGCGCTGCACAAGTGAACCAGTTTCGTGCATATCTGACTTACGTTCAGTTTAGAATACCCGGTTCTGGTCTCTAACTCGCTTGAAGCAGAGATCTACCGCCGAAATGATGGAAATGGGGTCCACCATATTGAACAGAGTCTCCGAGACCTTGATACAATCTCAACACGGGGGGACAATAATCACGGCTGCCCGAATGCGGGGGCTGACACCATGTGGAAAGTGGGTACGATGATCACGAGGGGGCCATCGCCATGAATATAATCGGGTCCTTTCTCAAGCAAAGCCTTATTTAACAATCCTACATTTCATAGTGCTATGTTGATGTTCTTACACAGGGGAAAGTCTAATCACCGTCCTTCAGGGGTGTTGCTGCGAATCTTTTGGTGACGTTTTTGTATACAACATACTTCACTCAATAAATAATCGTAATAAGTCTTTTAATCTACATTTAAACTATTCATAGACCCAAAGTGAAGGAAATTTCTGAAGATTTATCAGTGGTATAGGTTGTCGTGATGCAATGATAACCTCTAATGCAAGTATATATATATCTAGGGACGATATGTGGGCCTCCCCTCCCAATTCTCGGAATCCAAATTTGAACTTGAACACTATATTCTCCACACACAAGACTCTTCCAAGGACAAAAAAGTAGCTCAGCATGCATGAATAGGTTGAGTGACCCCAAGTTACATGGCTAGCATATGTATATATCCAAGTTCGGCCCTTTCATACTTTGTTCTATACGCTCGTGATAGCCCATGATTCTAAACCTATGGCTTACAGGCAGATGCGGTTTATCTTGGATCCCTAGAATATACAAAGACAGATTATAGACTTAATAGGTGCGATATTCCTTCTGCAGCCTGTGCGTACCGACCCCAAAGTACCCTAGGTACCCGTGGAGCGGTGCCTAGATAGTATGTTTCGGTTCATTTCTATGAAATAGCCGTGGAAAATAAAACATTTAGAACAGTGAGTATCTGAATAGCCCACAAATCAAGTAAAGCAAAAATGATATTCAATTCAAAAAGTAGAAGCCATATAGTCCTGCCAGGCTGTACCTTGAAGGTTCTCGGAACGGAACAACCACAACCGACATAATTACCAAATGCGGACTAGTGTTTCTTTCGGGGTCTCTGCGATAGCCCGCGTCCTCTGTTCTGCTCTCGTGAATATCGCGCCGCATACAAACCCCAACTTTCTCCCCATCTCCCTCAGCCTCTCCTCCCCCCGCGGGGTAATTCGATTCACTCATTTGCTGTCCGGACTTGATTTCTTTAAATGGACTAAGCAGTTTCTCAACCCGGAAAAGCCAATGACTTGATGATTTCCCTCGTTTTAAGTTCTACCGTCTCCGATCTTTTCGCATATCAACCGAGTCCACAGAGCTTCCGTGACACCACAACACAACATATGAGACCCCAATCCCCCCTGGGAAGACTGCGCACACTCCGCCCTCCTCAGCCGGCCTCTTGGCCCGGCCGTAATTGCTGTTTCTTTTCATTTAGTCGCAGCCCTTGAGAAGGGTCAGATCACAGCGATGGAGCGAAACATAGATATCTACGCCAGCAAGCTCGGCGACGAGAAGCTGGGTATGTTGGCCAGATCCATAATGATGAGAATCGTCGTCCATTTCTGTGCTAACCACTCCGTTATCTCAATAGATGTCAAACTCCGAGCCAATGTCGCTACCGAATTACGAGACACTATTGAGCCTCTATGCTCGGGTGCAAGCTACCCCATATTCCTATCGAAGCTATGGCCGGTATTCAAAACTATTCTAAAGGGAGACCCGGTCTTCTTCAGCATGTCTTACGATCAGGTAAGATTCTTTGGCACAAGCTTGGCCTTGGTGAATGTTGCACATAATGGGCTAACAACTTTGGCCATCCATTAGAAATTACGAAACTGCATCCTTGAGACACTACACCGATTACCGATGGGATCCCCCGACGTCGAGCCGTATGCCGTCGAGATGGTCGATCTGTTGATGGAACTCGCACGGATCGAGAACGAAGACAATGCGGTGCTATGCATGAAGACCATAATGGATTTGGAGAGAAACCAAGCCAAGGCTACTGCACACCGGGTGCAGGCTTTCTTGGAGCTTATCCAGGAAATGTTCCAGACTATGGAGCAAGTGGTTCGGGATACTTTCGACACTCCCAACCAGGCTACGCCTTCGGGAATGCCATCAACACCCAACGCAACAGCACAGAATTTCCAGTCTCCGCGACCGAGCTCGCCTGCAACCTCGGTGTCGGATCTCGGACCTGATCAGCAATCGAGCAATGTTCTCCTCAAGGGCATGCAGTCGTTCAAGGTCCTCGCAGAGTGCCCGATTATCGTCGTTTCAATCTTCCAGACGCACCGCGCATCGGTACCGGCCAACGTTAAACTGTTCGTGCCGCTCATCAAAACGATCTTACTGCTTCAGGCGAAGCCGCAGGAAAAGGCACACGCAGAAGCAGCAGCTCAAGGGACAATATTTACGGGTGTGTGCAAGGAAATTAAAAATCGCGCTGCATTTGGAGAGTTTATCACCGCTCAGGTTAAAACTATGAGCTTCTTGGCATATTTATTGCGTCTCTATGCCCATCAACTGCAGGACTTCCTTCCTACACTTCCTTCTGTGGTCGTTCGCCTCCTTCAAGATTGCCCACGAGAGAAGTCGGGCGCAAGGAAGGAGTTGCTGGTAGCCATTCGCCACATAATCAACTTCAACTATCGCAAGATCTTCCTTGAGAAGATTGATGAGCTTTTGGATGAGCGGACTCTCATCGGAGATGGCCTCACTGTCTATGAGACCATGAGACCATTGGCTTACAGCATGTTGGCCGATTTAATACACCATGTTCGTGACCATCTGAGTCGCGACCAGATACGACGAACGGTTGAAGTCTACACTAAAAACCTTCACGACGATTTCCCTGGCACCAGCTTCCAGACAATGAGTGCAAAGCTTCTCTTGAACATGGCAGAGAATATCTCCAAACTAGAAGACAAGCGTGAGGCGCGGTATTTCTTAATCATGATTTTGGATGCTATCGGTGACAAGTTCGCATCGATGAACCACCAGTTCAAGAACGCTGTCAAGGTTTCCAAGGCGTACAAAATTTTCCGACAGGACACCGAGCCGTGCGCCGAGAACTATCTTGCCGAGAAGGACCAGCCACCGGACTGGGATGAAATTGACATTTTCTCGGCCTCTCCCATCAAGACGTCTAGTCCGCGTGACCGTGGAGGTGACCCTGTTATGGATAACATCTTCCTATTCCGAAACTTGATCAATGGGCTGAAGAACATCTTCCGCCAATTGAAGAACTGCAACCCAGACGATATTCAAATTGACCCGAACAGCGTTCCCATCAACTGGTCGGAAGTTTCGTATGGATACAATGCAGAGGAAGTTAGCGTGATCAAGAAGCTCTTCCATGAGGGAGCTCGGGTGTTCCGCTACTATGGGGTCGATCAATCTCCCCCGGAGATGAATTACGCATCTCCATTTGACTTCCTCGCAAGCCAGTACACTGCTCCAATGTCACGCGAAGAAAAGGAGCTGTTGGAAAGTTTCGGCACTGTTTTCCACTGCATCGATACCGCAACCTTCCACGAAGTCTTCCATTCTGAAATCCCGTACCTACACGAGCTCATGTTTGAACATGGGGCTCTCCTTCACCTGCCCCAGTTCTTCCTGGCCAGTGAGGCCACTTCTCCCGCGTTCTCTGGTATGGTTCTGCAGTATCTTATGGAACGTATTGATGAGGTCGGTACCTCAGACATGACTAAGGCAAAGATACTTCTAAGGATGTTTAAACTTTCCTTCATGGCCGTGACCCTGTTCTCTGTGCAAAACGAGCAGGTGCTTCACCCGCATGTGACGAAGATCGTAACCAAGTGCATTGAGCTTTCAGTCACAGCCGAGGAGCCTATGAACTACTTCCTTCTTCTGAGGTCTCTCTTCCGAAGCATTGGTGGGGGACGATTCGAGCTCCTCTACAAAGAGATCCTGCCGCTTCTAGAGATGCTCCTCGAAACATTCAACAATCTGTTACTTGCAGCTCGGAAGCCACAAGAACGGGATCTCTACGTGGAACTCACCCTCACCGTTCCTGCCCGACTCAGCCATCTCCTCCCTCATCTTAGCTATTTGATGCGCCCAATCGTGGTCGCCTTGCGTGCCGACTCTGATCTTGTAGGCCAAGGTTTGCGCACTCTCGAACTCTGCGTCGACAATCTCACGGCGGACTACCTCGATCCAATCATGGGCCCAATAATGGACGAGCTAATGACTGCACTCTGGGATCACCTGCGCCCATCTCCTTACAACCACTTCCACGCACACACCACTATGCGCATCCTGGGAAAGCTTGGCGGACGGAATCGGAAGTTCCTCAACCACCCGCCAGAATTGTCGTTCCAGCAGTTTTCTGATGACAACCCAAGCTTCGATATTAGACTGATCGGCCCGAACGAGAAGCGGCCTTTCCCTATAGATATCGGCATAGATCTCGCAGCGGGCAAACTCATGGAGGTCCCCAAGACGGATTCTGGGAAAGCCTCGGACATTTACTACAAGCAGCAAGCATACCGCATGCTCAGCTCCCATCTCAAGCTTCAAATTGGTTATGACAACATCCCCGAAGATTTGGCAACCTTGATTAGACTGCATGCCAACGATCTCTTCGAGAATAAGCCGGGTGCTATGGCAGACATCCTTGATAAGTCTGAAAGATCGGCCTCTATTCCGAAGAAGCTTGCGCAGGAAGCCACAGTGAAGAAGCTTATCAAGGCTTGTATCTTTGCTACTACTATCCCTGAGCT